TGTTATTTTCAAATCGGTGTGAGAGAAGAGGATCGTCCTAAAACGACTATCGTCACCCCGTTCGGCGCTTGGCAGCACCTTCGGCTCCCGATGGGACTCAATGGTGCCGCGGCTAGCTGCGCCCGCATGCTCGATATTGTTTTGCGCGATCTTCCCAAGGGCACGTGTCATTCCTACTTTGATGATGTTTGTTTGGGTGGTAAGACGTTCGAGGAGACACTTGAGAAGCTCGAGCTAGTTCTAGACAGGCTCCACCGAGCCGGTCTCACGATCAATCTGGAAAAGTGCTCCCTGTTCCGTTCGAGTGTCAAATTCTTGGGACATGTGGTGGATGAGAGTGGCTTGTCTCTCGACCCCGACCGTGTGAGCAAAGTGCGCGACTGGCCAATTCCGCGGACAGCCAAGCAGCTCTCCTCATTCCTAGGGCTGGCTGGTTACATGCGCAAATTTGTCAAAAAATTTGCGAGCATCTCTGCACCGCTCTTCAAGCTGTTGCAGAAAGACGTGAAGTTCCAGTGGTCAGAGGAGGCGCAGTTCTCGTTCGACCAGCTTCGCAAAGCCCTCAGTGAAGCCCCAGTGCTGACGCTGCCCGATTTCAGCCGAGACGCAGGTCCTTTTATTCTTGATTGTGATAGTTCTGACACCCAGGCGGGCGCAGTGCTGCTACAGGTTCAGGGTGGCGTGGAGAAAGTGATCGCGTATGGGAGTCAGAAGCTGTCAAAATCGCAGATGAATTATGGTACCACTCAGAAAGAACTGCTAGCGGTAGTGATCTTCGTGCAAAAGTTTTCTGCGTACCTGGAAGGTAAGGAATTTAAAGTACGGAGTGATCACGCGAGTCTCCGATGGCTGCTCAATTTCCGCAACCCGACTGGCATGCTTGCCCGCTGGTTCCAGATCTTGTCTCAGTTCCACTTCACCATCGAGTATCGCCCAGGCGCCCTCCACACAGTGCCAGACGCTCTCTCCCGCAGACCAGACGAGCAGACTGATCAGTCATGTCAGACGGACCCAGAGACTGAATACTGCTTTCAGGTAAGGTCAGACGATTGGTCGACCAGCTACATTCGCTCGGAGCAAGACAAGGATGAGGATATCGCGGAAATATCGAAGTGCGTCTCCGCGGGAACCAAGCCTAAAGCTAAGGATCTACCCCAGTCGTGTCGCAAATACTTGTCGCAGTGGTCCAGATTGCGACTGGTGGGCGGAGTTCTGTTCCGCGTGTACAGAAGAAGGCCTGGCGATTCTGATCAGCTACAGGTAGTGCTGCCCAAGAGTCTGATCTCAGGGGCGCTGACTTCTCTGCACGCCGGACCCACGGGAGGTCATTTCGCTAGTGATAAGTTGTTAGCTCAAGCTAGGTTAAGGTTCTGGTGGCCCGGCATGGCTGTAGATATAGAAAAGTTCTGTAAGTCGTGTCACCGCTGCGGCGAGCGGAACAAGCCGGTTCCCGCCCCGCGAGCGTCCCTGGGCCAGCTGCCAGCCTCATCGCCCATGGAGGTAGTAGCGCTCGACATTCTGTCTGGCCTGCCAGTGACGTCGCAGGGGCACAGACACTTGCTCGTAGTTATCGATCATTTTTCGCGATTTGTAGAGTGTATTCCGTTGAAGACACAAGAGGCGACTGAGGTAGCTCAGGCGTTTGTCAGAGAGTTTGTGTCTCGATATGGGGTGCCAAAGACGATCCATTCGGATTTGGGTGGCTGCTTCACCGGGGAAGTTATGAAGCTCACGTGCCAGTTACTGGGGATAGAGCAGTCACATACCACGGCATTCCATCCGATGGGTAATTCAATCTGTGAAAGAATCAATCGTACTGTGCTTGGTATGCTGTCTAAATTCCTTGAGGATCACGAGCACTCAGACTGGGACATCCACCTGCCCCTTTTGATGCTCGGGCTCCGCAGTCAGGTGCACCGCTCCCTCGGCGTGTCACCGTACTGCGTACTTTTTGGCAGGGAGCCAAGGCTGCCCGCCGATGCCGAGTACGCCGGTCCTACTCGGTGCAGGACCCGACCCATCACGGAGTATCTAGAGAGGCTGCAGACCAATCTGCGTGCTCTGCACAAAGTAGCACTAGAGAACTCGAACAGAAGTCATCAGAAGAATAAGGAGATTTATGATAGAAAGCTAAATGAGAATAGTTACCTACCTGGAGACAAAGTGTATCTGCATAAGGGAATCGTTCCGCGCGGTCAGTATTACAAGTTTTTGCGTCCTTGGAAGAGAGCAGTAGTAGTAGATCAGGTCGGTCCTCTGAACTATAGGATCAGACTAGAAGGAGCTAGGTCTACGCTCATCGTACACCACAACAGGTTGAAGCCTCGAGTGGATACCGGAGAAGGTGAGTCACCGGTGACCGCACCGACAGCGTCCGTCTCACGGGCGGACCCCGCCGCGAGACCACAGCCGGCTGTCGGGACAGCAGCAGGCGTGACCTTTCCGACAGGCAGAAGGAGGATGGATGGTATCAGTGACAATCAGAGGGTAAGTGGTGCGCAGTGTGAAGGTAGGCCTAGTTGCCAACCAGCTGACGCCGCTAGTCTTGACGACTCAGGACCGCCGGCCCTGTCCCTGCTGAATCCGTTCGCCATATCTTTCGCCCCGCAGACACCCCCAGTTCAGACAGAGACAGCGCGTGAGACACGTGAGACGCCAGAGGGAGTCGCAGAACCGATAGCAGGTTCAGCTCCGACTGGAGCAGCAGAGGTGCCGCCCGACGTGGCGAACACTCAGGTTACCGCAGATATGCGCAGTCCCGAATTGCGTAGGTCAACACGAGTAGTCATTCCTCCCGACAGGTATTCGCCGTGATTTTCCGTTGTGGGTACCTATCACACAGAGCTGCTGTGTGCTGCTGTCGTTTTTAATGTTTAATACTGGGTGAAAGGCAATGACATTGGGCGATAACTTGACTTGAGATTCCTATCGTTGTAAGAACAGCTGCAAGCGAGCCTTAGTGTTACCTCTGTACAATGGGCACCTAGGTAGTTCTCTAGCGAATGGAGAAGCGCACGAGCTGAGCTGCAATACGGAGTTATTCAGTTGAGACCGAACATGTTTAGCCGTCCAGTAAAAAAAAAAAGTTCCTTTTTTCGTAGGTCGATGCGTTGTATTGTATGTGTAAATAATCGAGAAGTTTCTTCGCGTTAGGGAGGAAGGGTGTAAGCGGATTTCCGCTTACATGTTATGCGAGCGGATACTGGGCCTACCAGAAGTGAAAGTGGCAACTCTAAATTCGTCCTGTGCTGCAATAATGTCCTTGGTTTGTTGTCGCGTGTTTAGTGCTATTTAGTTATGATACTGATTTGTAATGACTATTTTATTATTTGATATTGATCGGTACCAATGTTTCTTTAGTTATGTGTCATATTTCTTATCCGAAGAGTTTTAGACTTCCTGTAATGATTTCGTCCAATGATGTAGCTGCGCGCCACGCGAGAGCCAATCAGGTAATCGCTTATTCTGACCAATGAGAGAGCAGCCGAATTTCCGTTGAGCCCCCGTCGCGTCCAGAGCGGGAATTCGGTGCGCCGCGACATGGCGAGGATCGAGATGTGCTTGGATTGCGCCTGCTTGAACGGTGGGTTTCAACTTTCGTGATAATTACTGTTTATTTTATTTCACATTCTCTAATAACGGGTTTTGATATTTCGTGCCGGCTTTGTATGTGTCGGGATTGTGACAGTTGTTTGTCTTTTCTTTCTAGGGCGTTTCAGTTGGTTTGTCTGCTGAATACACGCTTGGTTGGCTCCGAGTTCGGCGTTTGCCTCTGACGCCAGCGGCCGGGGCTAGACGCTTACATATGCACATGGTCATTGGTAATGTTATGTATTCTAAAGAAAGGTGTACATTTTCTGATCACATATCTATTGTGCCCTATCGCACTGACATAGCGTGTTGCAAAAGTTTTATTGGAAACTTCACTCCTCCATTCACGAGTCACGACAGTTCGGTTGAAATCCTTTTGATTTGTGTAACATGATAAAGGTACCTATGCATTAGGTATGCAACAATCTCGCCGTGAACTGCTTTTAGCCGAAAACACTCATCGCTAAAGGAACTACGGTGGGGCTGCTGTAAACTTCCTTGGCACGATAGGGCCGACTTTCACCACCCACGCGGGTCGTGTTTTGGTAACTGGAACAACACTCGAATGGCGCAGGCTTCTTTCACTAGTCTGACGCATTGTTCGCCAATACCTAGCCGATACCACACGCAAACAGCGACTTCCGGCCGGAACAATGAGATCCGGTCTCTCTCTCTCTCTCTCTCTCTCTCTCTCTCTCTCTCTCTCTCTCTCTCTCTCTCTCTCCTCTCTCTCTCTCTCTCTCTCTCTCTCTCTCTCTCTCTCTCTCTCTCTTTCTCGTGTTCTTGTGCAGCCGTCTCTCTTCATCCCAGATCAGTTACTTTATCGGGTTTAGGCTGTACAAAAGCTGTATCCCTGATACACTCAAGCTGCGTGGGGTGCACTTCCGGGCCTTTCCCTGTCGTGGCCCAATCGGTCAGACCAGAGTGCGCCCCATGACCGCAGCCAGGTCAGCCCGGTGATGGCGTGCAGTGCGGCGGCCGTCAGCACCGCTCGGGACGCCGACGGTCGTCAGCGGCCGTATATCGGCCCGGCGGCGCCACTGACGGCCGTCCCGACAGCCGGCGTCACGCCAGTCGGCAGCCCTCGGCGCCGCATCTCTGGCGCCGCCCCCGCCCCCGCCCCGGCCCGCTGCAGCCGCCCCACAGTGGACAAACTGTCGTCACGGCGCGGCGGCCGGCCAACAGTGGACCGTTTGTCTCGCGGCGGCCTGCAGGCCCGGCCGCGTCCCAGAGCCGGCCGCCCTGCAGGCCGAGTCATCGCCGTCACTCGGCTGCCGGCGGCGCACTAACAGACGCACTGCACCGTGCACCAAACAGCGCCGCAATTAGCGGCTGTCGGTGCCCAGTCCCGGACACTCCATCAGCCGGTACATGGGACAGGGGCAGCGGCGGCGGCTGACGGGACTCACCTGTGGTCCCGCCGGCCAGCAGGACGACCAGCAGCGGCAGTAGCAGCGTCATCAGGACGGGAGACGACCGAGCGGCGGACGGCAGCAGGAGTGGGCGCCTCCGGGAGCGGCCATACCACATCACAGAGCGGGCTCCTCGTCTTCAGGTCATCCAGCCTGGGAGGAGGACGACAAGAATCATCATTAGAACACAATCGGCAGGCCAATATAATGATAAACACGATAAGGGATCTCAAAGAGTTTGGCGAATTGAGAATAAAAATAGATCTGTGCATATTGAGCAGCAACATTCTCCAATATAGGCCAACGGTCATTCATGTTTCGAAAGGTGAGGTGAGCGAATAGCTCGAGGCAACGAGGCAACAAATGTGACATGCAAGCAAACATCTTAGACCAAGATAGTCAGACCACACGGTGAAAAGACCGTCATGACTAACGAACATCAGCACTACTTTTAATTTGCTGTGAAAGTGAAAACAGTTGCAAAATTGCATTCTGCAGCTGTCATGTAGGTATATATCCACTACCAGCTCAGCCTTGGGGCTGTCGAAAACTAGAGCTCCGGAATGCACCGTCGGGCAGATATTTACGAAAGGGCGTGTTCGGCGGATCAGCTGTCGATGAAATGTGAATTAACAGCTGGATCAGATCCAACAACAGCTGTGAAACACCATTGATTTCGTCTATGTAAAACGACCATGGTAAGCATGAGGTTAAAATGAGATGTTAACAGCTAGGGTAAATAAAATGGCTCATAAGCAAAAAGGTTTCAACGTAAGTGAGTGGCTAGAGAAATAGAATAGCTTATTAGCAGAAGTTAAGTGTCAATCACCTGCCCACCGCGGATGAGGTAGATAAAATAATTAGATAGGATCGATTTCCATGACATACAATGCTATCATCGGAAGTAAGTTTGGAGCATCACCATTACTGACTAATTAATCACGAAGCCGTTGTAATAAGCTGAAACGTACAGCGCGTTTCGCAGATTAATGAAGTAATATTGACAATGGCATGGTGAAGCGTCTCTCTAAACGGGGACGCAGTTCCGCGCAGCCACTTATCGTTCCGGAGCCCTTTATATGTTTCAACAGGAGTGGAAAGTAGCACCGGACTAAAAACCAGTCAACAAAGATTGATGGCCGGTTACTCGGATGGCTATACAACAATGGAACTGGATGGGGTTGTCACATGTTTTGAACGTATAACTATGCATTGTTTAGGGATCCATTACCCAGTGGCAACTAGGACATTGATGCACGGCGTCCGCCAGGAGAGGTCACTACTGAGAGGCGAGCATCCTGACTTGAGAGTAATAGTCATCTACCGCTGGTTCTTTATGTTCAGAGAGTAAGACATTAACGTCAGCAATGCTGTTTTATGCTTGTTAGATAATGCAAGCCGGCTCGGCGCTCGCCAGACGCTGTTTGTAGTACCGGCCATAGGCGGTTCTGGGTTTATCCTCTTAGAGCCCAGATACAGAGCTGTGCTATATGAGATAACGCCCGGAGCGATCGCCCTTTCCCAGTGCTCGGCCAGGCAGCTCAGCACTGAGCACAGGTGTGCCGGTCACCTTTACCCTTCCGGGATTTTTCCTTACGCGGGGCGATATATTCACCTATGAATAATATGTCCAGCTATGTATTTATTTCACGTTGTTGCAATTGTTCACTACCGTTTTATCTGAGGTCTAATTATCTCAATTAGACACGACTATTTAGCTAATGACTAGTGATTGTCGATTGACATGGTTTAAAACATTATTAAGGCTCAAAATTCAAATCACGCCACCACAATGACGCAAAACACTGCTACTGTCCCGTCTGTCCTTCCAAGCTCGACTGGCCACCATCATCAGTCACACGAGCACACTTGTTTGACATATGTCACCCTTGGACAACGCGATTTCAACAGCTCTATGCAGGGACGTTTTCACTTCCACCAACACGACGGGGCATTGGTGTTGCGCCGAAGGAGAACCACTGAATCAGCCGTCAACAGTTGCAGCACTTCCTTTGCTGTAGCTTGTGGCGTGCAGCCCGTTTCATGAAGAGTGAGTGCAGATACGGTCATGTATGCACTTACAAACCACACGCCAATCCTCATCGCCGCGCGTTGCGACCGGCCTTGCAGCTGGCGCCCCTGTGAGTATGCAGTGTGTGCCGAGTGCGCGGACTGCGGAGTGCGGAGTGTGCCGGGTGCGGACTGTGGATTGTGCCGAGTGCGCGGACTGCAGATTGTGCCGAGTGTGCAGACTGCGGGCTGCGGATTGTGCGGACTGCGGATTGTGTCGAGTGTACGGACTTCGGACTGCGGATTGTGCCGAGTGCGCGGACTGCGGACTGCGGAGTGTGCGCACTGCGGACTGTGCGGAGTGTGCGGACTGCGGACTGTGCAGAGTGTGCGGAATATGGCTGGTGGTATAGGGTGGACGGCGCTAGGACACGCCATCGGCCCCCATCGGGCCGCTGTCGGGTGACGTCACCGATGCCAAATGGGTGCCATCAGGCAGGGGCGTCGTGGCGTGCTGATTTTTGTGTCCGATCCGGCAACTGAAGGACGAGTCGCCCGTCACGCCGGTAGAGCGTTGAAATTCAGACTTATGTTGGATATGAAATCCTGTGGTTCTGCGTGCGGAGGAAAGCGTTACTACGGAGGCCTATTGTCAATCTATTCGTAATTGGTAATTGGTAAGGCTTTATCGAATGTCATCTATTGGAACAAAACTGGTTACCAGCATAAATGACCGAGGCGTAGCCAATAGGATACAAGCCGTATATATGTAACGTATACGAATGACGGTACTCTTTCGACAGGATCTCAAGTGGCACTAGCTTTGCACATAAAATCTGCACTCCTTCCCACGAATAAGCACCACTTTCGTTACTATTCGCATTCATTGATAAACTATTGTACCGAAGCCTGCTAAAGGTATTTGAACACAATGACGGGCCCTGCAGAGGCGCCTGGCGCGAGACTAGCCGCACTGACTACTGAGCTTCCCTTTCATTGCACCCCACCAGTGTTACTTAGTGAGATATTAAAATTTAGGTAGGTACTACAAATATGGGCGATGGGAATGGCAAGAAAATGAATTAATGTCACAGAAGATGATCCTTTCCGTTCCGGATAGATACCTACTTATCCCTCTAAAAAAATATATTATACCTAAATTAGTTTACTTACGGTATTGCATCACTTCTATATAAAATGACGCGCTAACTACCCTGCGTTTCGTATGCTAAAACACGAACAAAAATATCACCTTGTCATTTAGGTATGTGATAATTCTAGGTGTCTAAGCACCGAAACAGAAATGTTTCTCGGGTGTTAGGAACAGGGAAATAGTTCTCATTTCCGTTCAAAGTTTCAAAGGGAATGTTTCCACTCAACGCAGGGCACACAATTGCAATGCAGAACGGTATAACGGTACATTTATCAGGCTCGAATCAGAGAAGACAATCGTCGCACAGACAAACTGCGTGCTATTGTGGCTAAACGCAAGGCTGCACCAAAGCCTCCTTGCAGGTCACCTTCTCAGCGCCAGATTCCGTTATCGGCATAAGTTTTAGTTAATGTTATGTAACGCCATCAAAAGCCAATATGACTGGATAAGTGAATGCCAAATGCCAATATGCATGTGCAATTACATTGCATACCCATATATCCCCTGTAGCGTGAAAATACATATGTAGGTATCAAAAATGATGTTTTAGGCAACATATTCAATGTTAGCGGTCCCGTATTTTCCGCTCGTTATTTACAGACTTAAATGCAAAAAAATAAGCGTTGAAAATTCAAGCAATGAACTGATACCTGACCGCCGTGGTTTGCTACATCTTCTAACAATTGCACGTACCTGTTTGAGTCGCTGGAATAACGAAATTGTTTCGAGTGCTTTCGTCATTCAGCGCCGCAAGCCGCCAAAGCACCAGACATAACAGCGCGTAACCACCATCGCTCACTGGCAGCCACCCGAACACCAGTTTCTGTCCGTGCCTCGGTGCTCACCTTTACGGGCTGGTCCTGTGGCGTGTCGCGTGTTTCGGCCGGTCCTCGAGCGCGGTTTCCGCGAGCTCCCCGCACACCGGTCGGTACTGGACTGTCGGCGGGTCGGACCGGCCGCCGGCGCTCGCCCCCGTCACGCCCAGCGGCGTCCAACCGGCCAGCGCGAGCGGACCGGCCGCCGAACCGGGCCATCGGTGCACCCACCGGGTGCACTATACAACGGAGAGAACCACGATCGGTGTGTTTAATGGACATATAATAAAGTGCGTTCCAGAGGTATGTAACATTCTGGAGGTTTTAGGCGCATAGCTGGGCGTAATTTGCTATAATCGTTGTTTTTTCTCATACGCGGTGCGCCAGATTATTGGCAAAAACGCTTACGTCGCACCCCGTAGCCCGCGCCCCGTTGGGGTCTGCCGAGCAACGCACCCTGTGGGGGGGGGGCAATTTGCCCCCCACCCCCAAGATCTCGGGAACCACGCAACATAGCGACAAGCGGCAAACGGCGTTGGACTAGGTCAACAGCGCAGTCAACAAATGTTAATGCCGCTTGGGTCATATATGACCCAAAAGCAAAATCTTAACCCTCGCCGGCCGAGGGGGGGGGGCGGGTGCCGCCCCCCCCCATAGGGTTTTTTCGCGATAGCTCCGAACACACTGGAGATGGAGAGCTGAAACTTGGCATACCTGACCTTTGATCCAAGCCGCATCTTTTGACACCAACCGCATTTTTGGGTCAGGTCAGGTCACTGACCTATGACGTCATAAGTGAACCTCTGCACGGTCTTCAGATGTCGCAACTTCGCAACGCCCTCACTGCCAGAGGAGATGTCACAGGGAAATGAAACTTGCAGGATCTAGTATCCATTATGAGTCTCACAACTTGTATATCTCGGATTTTTCCTAAAGGTCATATGAGGTCAGGTCATTTTCGTGACCTCACCATTATAAGTCAATGGGGAAAAATGAAAACTGTTATTCTGGCGCCGGGAACGATCTCCAACTATCTCAAGCACACAGAATCGTGATTTGATGCACTCCTTGCAAGGTTAGATGCGTCAGTTTTGCAATGTTGACTTTGCGTGACGTCATTTATGACGTCATCAAGGTCATATTAGTTTTTAGTCAATAACTCTTGATCAAATTGAGCTAACGAGTCGAGAAAGCCACCAATGGACTCAGGAAGACCTGCCAATCGAAATGCGACATGACCCCTTTCGGCCAACTTCGTGACCTGGGGGCGCTGACCTGACCTTGACCTGAGGTCAACACCCCAAGTTGACCTGACCCGGACAAAAATTATATCATTCGACGCGCCTCAGCGAGGCGAACACGATGCTGCCAAAATCGTGGCTCTGCGGCCGTTTTTTGCGAAGTTATTCACCAAAAACTGAACCGTACCCTGGGGCACTTGACCTGACCTCAGAGGTCACCGGTTGACATAGGACCTTAAAATCGGGTACCAATCTCTGCGTCTCGTAACGGCGCACACGCTCGTTTTTTCCGCGACGCGCTAGCTCCACCAGGGGCGAAACGGCGAGGGGGGGGGGTCGTACCCGTTCCCCCCTCGGCCGGCGCGTATGTAGAAAGCCAATAGGTCCGGCGAGGGTTTTCCCATACCTGCTACATTGCATGATTAAATCGAGACATCCAGGCATTTTAATGGCACGTGCACTGTACCACACTTTTCAAAGTTTAATGCAGTGCTTTGCCAGCCGTGTGGTTCAAGGGGTGTGGTTAAACGCGTTGAACCACACGGCTGCTGACGTCACTATCAATTATAGTTGTGAGCTTTTTGGCAGGTATGGGAAACACCTTCCAGCCCTAAGGCCGGGAATTCAATAAATGTCACCTCGCTTTTTTAGCGAAAAGCACCTCGGGCCTAACGGCCCTCGGAGTTTTCGCTAAAAAACCTCGGTGACATTTATTGAATCATCCCGGCCCCGGGCAGGAATATATTAACCCGCGCCCTGATGGGGGCCATTTTGGCCCCCGTGGTTTTTCTTAAATAGCGAGAAAACGGCGGCGCGCAGCGCCGCCAATTTTTGGGTACCTTATCGGGCATCAATTTGACACCTTCACACAAAATTTCAAGTCACAGGTCACCTCGGGTCAGGAGTTATTGAGGTCAAACTGAGGTCATGTTCGAGTAAAAATGACCAAAAAAACATGACATCTTGAAATGCTCACCAATTCTACAGTTAACAAGCACTTTTAAGGTTCTTTATGTGGTTGTGTAGAGAAAAGACGGCGCTACAAAACTGCTATCTCAGATTTCCGAAATTTCGGGATTTTAACCCCCCCCCCCCCAAAAAAAAATAGAAAAACTCCAAAAATTTCCCCAAAAAAATCAAATTTCGAAAAAAGAAACGAAATATATGTGATAGTCCATGCGCTCTTCAATATACCTACATACCAAATTTAAGATCGATAGGTACCTCTTTTTTGGCCAAGTTATAGCGAAAAAAACTGTTCAAAATTGATGACATCAAAGTTTTGAACTCAATTTTTAGCAATTCTAGACCACGTAGCGCAAAAGGGAGACCACCATTGAACTCCCCGTGACGAGCTGCATCGAATCAATACCCATTTTATGCAAAAATATCAACTTTGAAATTTGACCTAATTTGACCTGACCTTGACCTGACCTTCACCAAAAGCAAAACATAATCTCAACTGACCCCAAGGGCTGCCTGTCCCACATAATCGCATTTGGCATATAAAATGGACCATAAAACATGCATCACATGATATTTTTAATTTGTGACCCTCAGTGACCTGAGCTCTGTGACCTGACCTGGTATCAGTGACCTCAAATAGCAAAATAGGGTAGACCGGGGCAAGTCGCCCCGCCGAGGTAAAACGCCTCACCGATGTTTCTCGGAGCTGGCAAGTTTCTGGAGAAGCATCATCTCTTCTATAAAACGTGCACTACATGATCATTACCTATATGAGCAGACTGGAAAGAAATTGTGATGACTCTTAAGGGAGATATAGCCAAAAATGTGTTTTTGGAGTGATTTTTATGTTTTGTTGTCAGCTTATGCATCATGGCGTTCTTTTATGGTCCACATCAGGTTAACGACTTTTATGTATTTTGAACAACTTTATCTAACGCTTATAATGCCGGGTTGGTTCGTGTTAAATTATGCCTTGCTGGAGTGTAAGGCGTTGTTCTCTGACCGAACTACGTGATGGGGTAAAACGCCCCAGTAGGTCGCGGGGCAAAACGCCCCATGGGGCGTTTTACCTCATGTGTTGTTCGGACTACCCACTTCCTAATGTTCGGTAGCTGGCTAACAGTAAGTTTCTATGCATTTATATGTACTTTTCTCAGCAACTGGATGGCAAAGGAAGTATTTTGTTAACATTTCCATTGCAATAATTTATTATTTGGCCTTATGAGGAAGGTGAAAAACCTGCTCATACAATAGTGTCATAGCTGAACACCTGATAGGATGGAAGGAGCTAACTTCAGTGCCGTACTTCCCAAGGTCTAACAGACCTCTCATGTAAGATTTAAGTCAACTAGCATGTTTAATCTTTAATCTAGAGTATGGGGCTTCTTGTCCCAGGCCGTGGGGCGTTTTGCCCTCAGGGCTGTCTCATCCCTATCTCCGTAACGTGTCGTGTGCGACCAATGACGTCACGGCATTGCGGCGTTCTGATTGGGCGGCAGCTCCGAATCGCCCGACTGGTGGTCCCCGCTCGACAAGCGCACGTGCGCCGACTATAGGCATTTGTAGTGGCATTGACGGCAGAAAAAAGTGAGTTAATGCAGAGCTCTGAATATACTTGAATAGTGTCTAAGCCGTTAGTAATACGTAAAAACGTCAGATAGGTTTCTTGTTTGTCTTGATTTTAGCTTTAATATGATATGATTTTTACCTTAGTGTCGAGTCTGGCAGCTATGTGGGAGAGCCCTAAAGTTGGGTCATTTTCCATAGAATTGCATTACAGCCGTCCGACGCTTCGTACCTGTGACGTCACGGAAATCGCTGCTTTGGCCTAATGAGCATACCTTCTATATAGGGCCTTGTTTTGCCCTGGGGTTGGGACAAAACGCCCCATTTGCAGTTGCTCCACAAATCACTTCCTGGCTGGGAGTCCGATCATAAGTGAATGAATTTGAGGGGTGGAATTTAAAGTGAAATGTTCAAAGAACGCATTGAGCACAAATTTGGCCTTCCAGGTGATGTGGGACAAAAGTTATGTAGCAAAATAAATTATCTGGGGCGTCTTGCCCCAGGCTACCCTATGTGTTTGACGAACATTTCCCCATCGATGATTTTCAATGAAATGCATTTTACTCGATTTTGCAACGCATTTCTTGAAATGCCTGTAAACGGTGAAACTTCGATCTTTGACCTGACCTGTGACGTCAGCGGTTTGACCGAGGTCAATGAAATTGGGTCACACGGTAGTTCCCCGTTGGGGCTATCCAACGCCGTTTGCCGCTTGTCGCTATGTTGCGTGGTTCTCGAGATCTTAGGGGGGGGGGGGGCAAACTGCCTCCCCCCCCAGCAGACCGCGTTGCTCGGCAGACCCCATCAGGGCGCGGGTTAATGTTCTTTCTCAATGGAGGCAAGTGGCACTTTGAGGAAGTTGTGCGTGTGTTTTGTTGGATTTGTGGGTTCAGTGACGAGCGTCGGAGCTGCATAAAACTTGTGTGAGCTCGTCCACTGAAGTTTCTGGATCCAAAGACGACGGGACTGACAGCCGCCGGTCACTGGCAATGGCGTGCCGCCCCAAAAAGTAATATTATATTATGTTTGCACTTAACTATCTGTTAAATGATCGTCCACCTGGCATTTAAATTTGTCTGAAAAAAGGCATGATGTATATTTTTGCCCTTCTTGTCGCCATCGGATACTAGCTTTTTTTTCCTCGATAAATATCCTTGGGTCATAAATGACCCAGCCGGCAATAGTGTTGTCAATTTTCTCGTATGTTGAATACCTACACGGGAAGCAACTGATGATTATACGATTCAAACCTATTTCTGGGGGCTGTGATCAGATCACAGTGGCGGATCCAAAGGAGGGGGGTCACATGGGTCACTCATGACCTCCCTTGAGGCCCGGGGGCACCATCGACCTATAAGGGGCACCACAGGCCTGACAGGGGCACCACAGGCCTGACAGGGGCACCACAGGCCTAGTGTTGCGATGTTGGGATAGCATGAGCGACCAGTCGTACGGGGCCGTGACGCGGGTCGGGCCGGCGACTCGGCCGGCCGAGGGGCACCACGGGCCTGTCAGGGGTACCACAGGCTTGTTAGGGGCACCACAGGCCTGCAGGAGCACCATCGGCCTAGCAAGAGCACCACAGGTCTGCCAGGAGGCACCACAGACCTGTCAGGGGCACCAGAAGCCTGCCAGGGGCACCATCGACCAGGGCTGCGGAGTCGATGGATTTTCGGCGACTCCGACTCCGACTCCGACTCCGGCTTTCAAAAACCAGCTCCGACTCCGACTCCGACTCCGGGCAGAATAGTCGACTCCGACCGACTCCAACTCCCGACTTCGACTCCGCAGACCTAGCAGGGCTGCGGAGTCGACAGATTTTCGGTGGCTCCGACTCCGACTCCGGCTCGGGTTTCTAAAATCGACTTCGACTCCGACTCGACTCCGGTCACAACTGTCAACTCCGACCGACTCCGACTCCGACTCCGCAGCCCTGCCATCGACCTCACAGGGGCACCACCAGCCTCGCACGGGCACCTTGGGCCTGTAAAGGGCTCCACGGGCCTGTCGGGAGCACTTCAGGCTTGCCAGGGGCAGCACAGTCCTGCCAGGACCCAGGGGCACCAGCGGCCTAGCAGGGGCACCACAGGCCCGCCAGGGGCACCACAGGCCCGCCAGGGGCACCACAGGCCTACCATGGGCACCACAGGCCCGCCAGGGGCACCACAGGCCCGCCAGGGGCACCACAGGCCTACCATGGGCACCACAGGCCTACCAATTACCATGGGCATCAAAGGCCTAGCAATAGCACTGCAGGCCTGTCAGGGGCTCCACAAGCCTGTCAGGGGCACCTCAGGCTTGTCAGGGCCCAGGGGCACCACAGTCCTTCCAGGGACACCACAGGCTTGTCAGGCCTATGGTGCCCCTGACAGTGTCAGGAGCACCAGAGGCCTAACAGGGACACCACAGGCCTGCCAGCGGCACCAACGGCCTCGCCAATGAGACGCTGCAAGGCATTGCAATGCAGTGCCTCTTAATATTGTTTGGCTGAGACCGCTATACAGTATACATAATAAGGTATCTAGCTAAATCTGTTTTCGTGATAACTCCTTATTTGTGACTATACCTACTAATGCCGGTAGGGTCATTTATGACCCATGCTTATAACTTGAGAACCGATGGAACAATTTTTTTAAAGCTTGCACAGTTTTCTTGCTGGGACCCGTGTGGCTAACATTTGTTAAGGACAACATAAGAATCAAAAAATAAAAATTCCGGCATTAATGGGTTGCCGACTTTGATATTTTTTTGACAATTGTCGCAATTACCTATCTCACGAATTTCTATATATGCCTTATCTCTAAAAACGGATAGAATCATTGAAAACGTTTTGTTAATAGTGCACTGTATTACAGCCATTTTCATATTTCGCTTACCCACCGACACGACATTCGTATTACGCATAACACAAAGGAGACCTTTCGGTAAACAGACGGCAGCGGATGGAGCCGACGCGTCCAACCATTGCCGGCAACCAGCACCAGCTCCGCCTTCCCGTGACCAGTCGGTAGACCACCAGGTCCGGGAAAACAACGGTCGGTGACACGGTCAGCCCGGGCACTCATCGACAAAGTAGCGTAACAAAAACGCTTCTTGGACACCGTACAGTAAAACGGGCGCCGTAAACCCTATTCGTTTCCCGGCACCGGTCCCTACTGCGTCGGCGCGCTACGAGCCGTCGTCGTCGGACGAGTCTGTGTGCTGCTGCTGGGCGGCGGCGGCGGTCAGCGGGTAGACCAGCAGCAGGTTGGAGCCCTCCCTGAGCCGCCACCAGCGGCCCAGCCGGTGCTCCTGGCCGCAGCCGGCCACCAGCCGGTCCCCGGAGCCGCTGAACGTCAGCGAGTTGACAAAGCCGGCGGCCGGCAGCGCCATCAGCGCCGTCAGCGCCGTGAAGCCGGCCGCGCACCGCCACAGCCGCACGTGGCCGTCCCATGAGCCGGAGGCCACCAGGTCCGAGTTGGTGAGCGCCGAGACGGCCGACACCCAGCGCGGCAGCCGGCTCTGCGGGTCCACGCCGTGCGCCCGCGGCACGCAGCACAGCGGCTTCTTCTTGCTCACTCCCCAGAGGCACACCATGCTGAAACGGAACGGGAGTGAAATGAAACGCCGCTGTTGCAACAACTCGTGCATGCTGACACAGAAGCCCATTAAGAAACTCAGCCTAGCTGATAACTAGGTGATCAGCCAACATGAAATGGTTTAAGCACAAACAACCTATGAAAAAAAAACGTAATATCGACAAATCGTTTGTGTTCTCTTTGTCTCAGACTCTCACCCGTCCTGTCCGCCGGTGACCCAGTGCTCCTCGTTGATGAGCCGGATGCAGTCGATACTGTCGCGGTGGCCGGTGAATACTAGCTGCGACTCCTCAACCAGCTTCCAGACGCGGCACGATGTGTCGCGGCCGCCGCAGCTCACCGCCCGCTCCCGGCTCAGCGCGTCCAGGCCCGTGATGGCGTCCTGGTGACCGAACCTGGCGGCACACCGGCAGACACGTAAACGTTAGGACACACACCGTGCAATGCTGATAGTCTTACCCTGAAGGAGTCCGTAAAACCGCTTGAAAAGCTAAAATAAAAGACATGACGACAAATGACCTAAGTCTTCACAACGTTTAGTTGAACGATCGTAATGAACGACCTACAGATAAAAATGCACATTGCTAAGATGCACGAAAAACATCAACTCATTCAAGCAAAACAAGGACATTTTTACCTTATTCTATCATTCCCCATACCGCGCGATCCCGTCACCCGCGTTCAGCACTTGCGGTGCGACTCACAGAGACTCGATGTAGGAGCGGTCGTGCACGCTCCAGACTTTGACCATGCGGTCGGCGGCGGCGCTGAACAGCTGGTGGGTGCCCCGCTGGAAGGCCAGGCCCGTCACGGCGCCGCGGTGACCGCGGAAGACGTGTAGCCGGGTCAGACTGGCCGGCTCCCACAGCTGAATCAGGTGACTCAGGTCACCGCTAACCTGTAACGCGACAGGTACCCATTCAGGCTAAGTCGCATAAGATACAGAAAAAACGCCTTTTTGAATTCGAGATATATATATTTATATGTCCTTTTGAAAAACATACAGTAAATCTGAGTCCCATTGCTGATTGCTCTCCGGTTATGCTGATGGGACGAAATGTGACATGATCACTGATCAGCCCTCATGGTGGGACGGCGTGAGCACTTACCAGGTATTTATTGTCTGTGGAGATGGCCATACAGAGAATGTGGGTGGTGTGGCCAATGTGGGTGTTCTCCGTGCCCTTTCGGCCGCCAGGCACCACCTGTAATCGTTTGTACGTCTCCATACACCCTGTAGATAAAAGGAGAGGGAATCAAATAACAATCCCGATATTTTCAACAAATACACATAAGATATTGTTAAATGTCATAAAATAGTGTTCCGATGTCAATTCTTTAAAAAGTACATAAGACAATACAAAATGCCAATAAGGGTTTACAATAATCCGAGCCCCACATCATTTATTCGTGTCTAGGCTACAGCTTACACAGTCCAGACTTACATTTGATGAGTGAGCAGTCCTTGGACCCGGTGTAGAGGAACTTGTCGTCGGGAGCGAGCACTGCGCAGGTGACGGGCAGCTGCAGCTGCCGGCAGCGGAGCCGGCGCACCAGCTCGGCGGCCGGCTGGACGCAGCTGTCGGCCAGCGGCCGCTGCAGCCGACCGGCGCGCTCCAGCACCTCGTCTCTCAGCCGGTCGGCCACCGAGCGGCCGGCGCGGTCCACCTCCTCGGCCTCCTCCCGACCGGCCTCTGCGGCACCCGGGGGGAGCGGGTGTAGCGGTCAACAGCAGCTAGCTACTGAGCAAAAGGCAGTCCCGAGACAGCCGGTATAGCGGTCAGCAGCAGCCAGGTACTGAGCAAAAGGCAGCCCCGAGACAGCCGGTATAGCGGTCAGCAGCAGCCAGGTACTGAGCAAAAGGCAGCCCCGAGACAGCCGGTATAGCGGTCAGCAGCAGCCAGGTACTGAGCAAAGGACAGCCCCGCCTCTGCGGCACCCAGAGAGCGGGTGTAGCGGTCAACAGCAGGTAGTTACTGACCAAAGGACAGCCCCGTCTCTGCGGTACCGAGGGAGAGCGGGTATAGCGGTCAGCAGACAATCACTTAACGAAAGTCCATATGCCTCTGCGGCGCAGGGCCGGCGGGTACGGGGTCAGCCCGCCTCTGCGGTACCGAGAGACTGGATATAGGGTCAGCGGCAGTTAGTCAGCCATTGATATATCAGCTTGCTTCATTTGGGACCGAGGGCTGATGGTAAATGTATCACTTCATCATCGTGCATGATTTCATTACAAGCACACACGCTCATCAAATTTGTTAAGTGAGACCATTTCTCAGACCGCACATTGAGCTCACCCTGTCGTTTGATCTCCTCCAGGTAGAGTTTGGCCAGCCGGAGCCGTTTCTCCTGCGCGGTCTCCAGCTCGGTCTCGGAGAGCTCCGGCTCGTCGGCCGGCGCCGGCTCATCCTCGAACTCGTCACTGTCGATCTCCTCATCGTCTTCGTCGGCCGGGCGCGCGCGCTTCGCTGCCGGAACCTCCGCTGCCGCCGTCCGGACCCGCTGCACAAACAGCGCGCACGGTTAGCATCTGAGAGTGGTATCTTTCCTGCAATGCAGAGAAGCTATTAAGGTAGTAACTGAGACTATAGTGGCTAGGAATCTACCTGGAATTACCTGGAACTACCCTTTAATTGGAATTGGTTAAAACCTGACAATTGTGAATTGTGATCACATAAAAATACTGCATAGTGAACTTTGAATTCGCCTGTTAGTGGGCATGTCTTTTGGCGATTTTCAATACAAATCTAATTAAATTTGATTGGTAATTAACTACTGCATTACAATTACACATTAAAAAAGCTTATTTTTTATAAAACGACAAAAATGGACTGAAGGTTACGAGCATCAACCTCTTCATTTTCATCACCTTAAATAAGGGGGAGGAAAGTATTCTATTAGCTTATTACTACAGTCGTGTACAGGTTGATGGTCCCCTACTCTTTATCCGCCGGGTTCCTATGGCTCAGCATTGGCAGCAGCCGCCTGGTACCGATAGGCTGTGCCGCATGACCCGAGAGTGAAGCGGCACAGTCTACCCACGCCGTTTGACATCCGCTCGGGTCGCCGGGTGGAGCGCTTTGTACAGGGTGTCTCAAAAGTTCGTTTACAGGTACCAGCCATGCTTTTTTGTCAATAATTCTGAATCAACAAGAAATCAACAGTCGAAATTTTGCATGGGCATTGGTAACAACCTTCCTCAAGCAGCTTCATTGTTTTCAAGCGCATTCGACCCTTCATGAGCTCACAAAAAGGGTTCACCTCTGACCATGGATCAGGCATGAAAATGGAGGTCGCATGCTCGGGTCGGCTGAGAAACTCTCTGCTTCACGAGTAATGGGAATGGTTAGGTCGGAAATGACACATGGCAAAGTGTCGGCGAGGATGAGTACAACATGATGGTCATCTAATAAAAACGGTGGCTAAAATTTTTGAAGGACAAAACCATGCGAGACTAACAGCGCTTTGAACGACCCTTGTACCGCAGCAGACTCGTGCTCCGGAAAGCAGCTGAAAATGCAGTCCTAACTATTGAAAACTGACTAGAAGCTCACAGACAGAGGTTACCCAGTTTCAAAAATTGCAGGTCATCATAAAATAAAGACAAAATATCATTTAAAATTGTTTATAATATCTATAACGCTAAATTTTGAGGGAAAATAATGCGAAAATCGTCAATGCCGAGGACAAATGACCCTCCAAAAGTGTCAATTAATGTAAAGTTTTATCTAACGAAGTTTCAAGAGGCAGATCTGGAGCAAATAGCTTTCTTTTACACACAAAATCCGAACAAAACCGCACGATGGACAGGTTTTGGCCGTTTACAAAGCAGAACCTCTCCTGAGGAAAACACTCCGGAACCCAGCGAAGGTCTTGGCATTGGGAATGACGAGCGTTCGGGATTTGCAAAATTTGCGAAATGTGTCTAAGAAACAGATGGCCGACACATTCTGCTACGATATGCTGCGAAAAATTTGCCCCTGGCACTTCCCATTTGTTCAGGAATGGGGTTGTTTTGAAAAGGAAAATGGTGCTTGGGAAGTCGGCGCCAGTCATTCATGAAGGAGTTAGCGCCAGAGAAGACCTACAAAATACTCACGGATGGTGTCGATGCAAGCTGTCTGCTTTCAGGGAGAAGCGGATGTTGCCGGGGAGCTCGTCAAACCTAAATCCGACGCAGAAACTGCAGGGAATTCCCCTACAAGAGCTTGAAAGCTGGTAACCTTTTATCAGCCTCCGGCAGCTGACGGAGTGACGAAAATCGGTATGGGCAAATATTTTTGGAGATACAGCAAAGGGTTTGGTTTCCAACCTTCCGAATCAGTTGTCAAAGCATGCATATTTGTCTAGTGTACACACGGACACCAAAACCTTAGATTTTTGGCCGGTTCTTATATGCTTTATTGACATGGGAAATGTGTAAACGAACTTTTGAGACACCCTGTAGACCAGCTGTCGCGTCAGACCAGCGCGGGGGGAGGGGCTCGTCTCGGTGGTTGGCGTGGGCTGGCGAGTGGTGTGGTGTAGTGACGAGCTGTGCCCGATCGCGTAGTGTACATATGTTATGTTTGTTTGTTTGTTTATGTTTGTTGTCATATGTTTGTATCGTGTATATATTCTCTGTACCTAATGTGTCCGCCACTGCGCGTGTGGACCTACAGGAACTGTGCGCCGTTCTACATGATAGCGCATGCGCACTATTCGTTACCACTTGGTACTGTTAGTACAATGGTCGCCCAATTGTGTGCAAATACATTCGACTTCTAACCGGAGCAGGACTTTGAAGAAGAGAGGCGAAGGAAGACGGAGGAGGCTGAAGGCTGACGACGGAGAGACACACGCACAACCGACCTTCAAGGTCGCACCGAGCTACGGTCGAGCGAGGTAGGCAACACGCCCTTAAAGACGCCTCTGATTGTAGCCACGCCGGTACCCCTGGTCGGACCCGGTATACTGACACGGACCTTGCCACTGGCTCTGGCTCAGGCTGTCTTAGCGGACACGCCTGCCAGTCCAGACGCTCTCCTAAGAGCGAGTGCTCGGCTACCGCCAGTCTGCCGGGCCCAACAGCGTTCTGCTGACACCCGCCGATACCGCTCGCCGCACCGCAAGTGCCGCAGCGATTCGGGCGCTCCAGGCGAGCGTAACGGGAGTCACACCAGTCCGCGCCGCCAGGCTCTGCCCGCTGTTGTATTCACGGACGGCCCTTCTTTAGATTGCTGACACAGATTCAGTAGATTGCACAGATCAGCAGGCCGTCCGTAGAATTACACTGGTGACCCCGACGTGATACTCTGACCCAGTCATGCCGGACGCCACGGAGTTGGACAACGCAGCACCGCGGGGCGCCCCTCCCGCGACTGTGTCCAACGGGCCTCCTGAGACCGCTCAACGGCCGCTAGCTTCGTTCCGCCTGCCGCCATACACGCCAGAAGAGCCCGATCTATGGCTCCTACAGGTCGAATGCGCGTTCGACATCAGCGGCGTAAGCTCCGACGAGCTCCGGTACAAACTTCTAGTCGCCAACCTGCCAGCGACTATCGCCGTCCAGGTCAAGGACGTGATAAGGACATCAAGGTCATTCACCGCCCTGTGCGACGCGCTGAAGTCTCGCCTTGCGCAATCCCGGGCCGACAAGCTGCAGTCGCTACTCAGCCGACAGCAGCTCGGCGACCAAAAGCCGACGGCGCTCCTCCGTTCCATGAGGAACGAGCTGGCCGCCGCCGGGGACGCTCCCGTGGACACGGAGCTGTTCCGGACACTCTTCAAACAACGTCTGCCGCAGCCCGTCCGCGCTGCCCTGGCCCTACTGCCGGCCGACAGCGCACTGGACGCGCTGGCAGAAGCGGCAGACCGATACCTGGACGCCAGCGGACCGGACCCGAGGGTAGCGGTCGTCACCGCCCCGCCGCCGCAGCCTGCGACACCGGCACCGGCTCAACCTTCAGCCGGACTAGAGGCCGTCGTAGCGACCTTAGTCGCCAAGATGGACAGCCTCCAGGCCAGCCACCGAGGCCTCGAGGCCAGCAACCGGCGCCTACAAGACGCGCTCCGACGGGATCGTGGCCGGAGCCAATCCCGCCGACGACGGGCGCCTAGCTCATCACGGCCGCCAACACCAGCGCGCTCTCCGACGCCGACGAACGAAGACGACCTCTGCTGGTACCATCAGCGGTTCGGCAGCAGGGCACGCCGCTGCGAATCGCCATGCAGTTGGGCGGAAAACTAGGCGGCCCCGCGCTCTTGGCGCAATGCGCGGGCGCACTTCCCACCGCCGCGCCGCTCCTCTTCGTGCGGGACACGAAGACCAATCATCAATTTCTGATTGACACCGGAGCGCAGGTCAGCGTGCTGCCACGCCGCTGCCTACCCAAGAAGTCCACGCTGACCCCTGCTCCTGCCGGCCAGCAGCTCGTCGCGGCAAACGGCTCGCCAATCGCCGTCTACGGCACCTGTCTGCTGGACGTCACGTTAAGCCGCCATCACAGCCTGAAGCACCGATTTTTTATCACCGATGTCACCACACCGATCCTGGGCACCGACTTCTTGGCCGCACACCAGCTCGTCGTCGACGTCGCCAGCCAACGCCTCCTGCGAGACGGCACCGTGTGCGCCAGCGCCCAGCGGTCACGACTGTGCTCCATCGGCGTGCGCCTCATCCACGAGCAGGCTGCTGCTCGCTATGCCGCCGTCCTCGCCCGCTACCCGGACGTAACATCGCCAGCGCCCGGCCCGGCACCAGTCAAGCACAGTGTGACACACCATATCGTCACCACCGGGCCGCCAGTGCACCAGCGGCCACGGCGACTACGACCAGACCGGACACACATCGCCAAAACAGAATTCGACAAGATGCTACGGCAGGGCACCATCCGCCCGTCCAGCAGCAGCTGGGCCTCGCCTCTCCACATGGCGCCCAAGAAGTCTCCCGGCGAGTGGCGCCCCTGTGGGGACTACAGGGCGCTGAACGCCCGCACTCTGCCGGACCGGTACCCGCTTCCCTACCTGCGAGACTTCTCGGCCGACCTGCACGGGTGTGCCGTCTTCAGCACGATCGACTTGGTGAAGGCGTTTCACCAGATACCCGTGGAACCTGCCGACGTCGCCAAGACCGCCATAACTACACCGTTCGGCCTCTACGAATGCGTCCGGATGCCATTCGGCCTCAGGAACGCTGGACAGACCTAGTGACGAGCTGTGCCCGATCGCGTAGTGTACATATGTTATGTTTGTTTGTTTGTTTATGTTTGTTGTCATATGTTTGTATCGTGTATATATTCTCTGTACCTAATGTGTCCGCCACTGCGCGTGTGGACCTACAGGAACTGTGCGCCGTTCTACATGATAGCGCATGCGCACTATTCGTTACCACTTGGTACTGTTAGTACAATGGTCGCCCAATTGTGTGCAAATACATTCGACTTCTAACCGGAGCAGGACTTTGAAGAAGAGAGGCGAAGGAAGACGGAGGAGGCTGAAGGCTGACGACGGAGAGACACACGCACAACCGACCTTCAAGGTCGCACCGAGCTACGGTCGAGCGAGGTAGGCAACACGCCCTTAAAGACGCCTCTGATTGTAGCCACGCCGGTACCCCTGGTCGGACCCGGTATACTGACACGGACCTTGCCACTGGCTCTGGCTCAGGCTGTCTTAGCGGACACGCCTGCCAGTCCAGACGCTCTCCTAAGAGCGAGTGCTCGGCTACCGCCAGTCTGCCGGGCCCAACAGCGTTCTGCTGACACCCGCCGATACCGCTCGCCGCACCGCAAGTGCCGCAGCGATTCGGGCGCTCCAGGCGAGCGTAACGGGAGTCACACCAGTCCGCGCCGCCAGGCTCTGCCCGCTGTTGTATTCACGGACGGCCCTTCTTTAGATTGCTGACACAGATTCAGTAGATTGCACAGATCAGCAGGCCGTCCGTAGAATTACAGTGGGGCGTGTTGGTGGACCATGGGGGCTGGGCGGGTGTGTGTGGTCACTTGCTGCATTGCACATTTTGCGTCGCTTAACAATTGCATTCCTGTTTTTGCTAAGCAAAATGCACGGAAGACCCAGCGAATATAATTTACTTGTGCATTGTGCAAAACGTGATTTGGCACAGTATCGAGGCAACCATAGGTCTTGTGCCACATATATGCATGATATTTAGGCAATACGCTTATGAAAATGGTAGATTGATCGGATTGATCCTGGATTTCAATTCGTATGTTAAATGTCGACATGTATTAAATGAACGAACGAATGAATGAATCAATCAATCGACAATCGACATTCGACATGTAGATATAAAACCGTATAAATGGCTCGCAACCACTAAAATCGAACCAGATCCTAACTCGGAAAAGTAGCCGGAGCCCCGATGAGGCTCGAACCGGGACTCCACGTTGAAAGTTTTGCCAATTATCGGGGTTACATGAGCACAGTAAATCCGTATTTAGCCGCTAATTCGAATTAGGAACGCATTACCGACTCATGTAGCCACCTGCTAGTACGAATCGGCGATCCGATCCGCGGTTACATGAGCAAAGCAAATACGTATCACGATCGGATTCACCGCTAATGCGAATCAGGAGCGTACTACCGACTCATGTATCCACCTGCTAATACGAATCGGCGGTCCGAACAAAATCCGCAGGGAAAGAGGCTTAGAAGCGAATAGGACCAAGATACGTATTACAGGAACTATTTCTTTCCAAAAAGAAACATTAAAATGCAAAATAATAGGTATTTTTTTCATTTGCTTCTTTTGAAATAATAAGTAAAAAAATATATCGGTATTTTGTCAAGTTTTCAAAAAAAAAAATATAGTGAAAACCAAAAAGAAAATATCAAAGTACTTTCCGTTGAAACATTTTTCTGACAGCACTACAGACGAAGCAAGAGAGGCAAGTGCTCAATGAGTCAAAGCAAGACAACTTTATGTTTAACTTTTTTTGTTAAGTTAATTGAGAATGTTTTGAGCAGATTAAATGCAAAAAAGACATAAGATATTAAGTTCTTAATTCAGTCACCTCTATTGCTACGGAAGTGCGCCACATTTGTATGCTATTCCGTTTGTAATGCGCATCGGGCCGAGAGCCAAACTAGATCCGTTTGACGTCACTGATACGAATTTGCTCATGTAGTCGGTGCACTGAATGCGTTCTTGGGGAGCTGATGCAAATTAGCGTAGTGCGTATTTGGAACGGATCGCTAATGTAACCGAGGCACACGATTCGGGCCGTATTTCACAAGAACTATTCTTTGCTGACTGGAAGCGTCAAAATGCAAAATACTAAGCATTTTTTTATTGGCTGCCTCGTAGAAAATAGCAAAAAAATGTTGTTATTTTGGTTTAGTCTTTGCATGTGAAATAAAATGAATGAAATATTTTGAGATAATTTTTTCTGACCACCCTGCTGTCGCTGCATGGCGAATCAGTGCCCACTGACTTAAAACAAAAAACTTTGTTTTCATTTTTTGATTTCATGTTAATTTTAAATGTTTTTGAGCCTATCAAATGATATAATTATTTAAAATTCAGTTCAGTCGTCCCGGTAAATGCCGCAACTGCGCCATGACTGTACGCTAATCCTATTCCGTTTGTGATGCGAATTACCGGCCTTCGAGGCGTCAGCCCGGGTGAGCCAAACAAGATCCGTTTGACGTAGATAAAACGAATTAGTCTCATGTAACCGGTGCCGTAGATACGTTTGTGGGGAGCTGATGCGCATTAGCGTAGTGCGTATTTGGAACGGATCGCTCATGTAACCCCGGTAAATGATCCATCATCATTCCACCAAGCTAGAGCGACCGGCACCCGGAACCACAAAAACATTCATTGACTTTGCTGCCGACCTCCCGGCCCCGCCGCCCGCCCGGCCAGACTTTGCCCCGGCCGGCCACCATCCGGTGTAGCTCAGCGTAAGGAGTGCTAGACTGTCAAACTGACCGGTAGTGAGAGGCCCGGTTCGAGACGCTTCGCGTGCTGGATGTTTATTTCTGTGTCCGAGGCTATGCGATTAGTCCACTTTTCAGAAAGATTATTTGGTGACAGGTCTGTTTTCTTTCTTTGCTGCAATTCATGAGGAGACCGTATGGACCCTTACCTGTCCTTCCGCACTCCACTTGGGAGATGAGTGTTTGAACCCCCCTGGGTTTTGTGAATATCTCTAAAGCGAATTTTTGGAGGGTGGATTACGATCGGTTCTATGCGACAAGTGACCACACACACACAGCCCCAGGTCCGCTCACTCCCTCCCCACATCACCCCCGCCCCACACCACACTCCAGCCTGCCTCATCCAACGAGCCGAGCCAAATAGACAGGCCTGACCCTTACCCCCCCCCCCCCTCCCCCCCAGCCGGTGTAACGCAGCGTCCGGTCAAATCGCTCTACCAGGCGACCCGAGCCGGTGTCATACAGTGTGGGTAGGCTGTGCCGCTTCACTCTCGGGTCATACGGCACAGCCTACCGGTACCAGGCGGCTGCTGCCAATGCTGAGCCATAGGAACCCGGTGGATAAAGAGTGGCGGACCATCAACCTGTACACGACTGTACCGGCAGCTGCAAGCCGGACTGCCGCCCGACCACCGAACGGGTCATGTGGCAGCCGGTCGACCAGGTGGCGCCCGGGGCTAGGCCGGCCGGCACTGAGCTGACCCATAGTAAGCAGCCCGGTGATTGGTTGTTGGGCTCTGGCCCTCGGGGCACCGGCGAGGTGACCTCGGGTCAGCGACGTACGGTGACTGCGCTCAGTTCGGTCCAGAGGCTCGGCGGGTCAACTGCGTACGCGTTGGTGTGCGGTGTGCTGCTTGAGGTGTGGTGGTGAAGCACAATATATCAAGTGAAACTATCTTAACTGTGTGGCGTGGAGCTGGACCAAGGGACAAAGGAACACGGCATTAAACAGAAGCGAGCCATCTCAGCGTGCGAGTAGCCGATCGTTTCCTTTCATCCGGGACTCATAACACGGCCTCTTCCGGGGTGTGTGAGAGAGGCGGCCACAGTGCCTCGGGTGCGGGTCTCCGCTGCGACACACAGACAGGGCTGCGACCAGTCGGCTCCGGCTAACCTCGCCATCGAGGCGCCGGAGTACCGGTTGATCTGTCCCGCCTCGCCATCGAGGGGCTGGAATCGGGCAGCGACTGGCGCCTTCCTCACCATCCTAATCCACCCATCGCTCTCCTACAGTCCTTGTCTATCATCCGGCTAAATAAGTGTCGTTGGCATGTGAAATACCAGAGGACACGTGGCGACACTGCTAATACCTAAAATATTTCATGATTGCCTCAAATATCACAGGCAAAGTTAGGAATAAGTTCATGATTGGCACCAACACGGAACTTTATCGTTTTTTAAGAGGACATTGTACAGTCTGTCTTAAAAGTACCGCGCAAAGTGGCGGTGGATCCATCAAGCCTGACCGAGAAAGGGCCTGTTTTAATTTAAAAGTCACCGACCAATTGACCTAGGGAATGGACAAGGATGTCAGTTGCTTCGGTGACCCAAATTTAGCAGGCCCTTGCTCAGTCAGGCTCGATGGATCCACCGTCACTTTGCGCGGTACTTTTAAGACAGACTGTACAGGCACCAAGATAAAAAAGACCAAACATACAACATGAAAAAATGAATTATAAATTATCGATATATTTACCTTTGAAATAACCTTCTTTTTGTCTTTCTTTGACTTGGTTTTGCTTTTTGAAGTGGTTTTCTTCCTTATGAAGAATGGCATGACTGGAAAAAGCATAGTCACAAATTATCAGTTTGGCATGACAATGGGATGCACTACGTCTCAGTCAGTGAAACTGTGGTAAAATCTGTCATTTTTTAGCATTCTGTTATCAGTTATCTTTATCAACAATGTGCCAAAAATGCATACCGACCTGCTAAAAAAAAGAGTACGCATTTGATATCGTACCCAATTATAGCAGATTTGGGTCCAGCTCCATGTTAAATGATTTGCACATTAATTGAAGCAAATGCGTATCAAATGCCCGGCAGATTCACAATTAGAATAGTGCTGTGAGTAATTCTGCCATGCAAAGGCAAATACTACTATGTTGGCTCACCCAACCTCAGCTGACCCAACATGACCTGACCCAACATAGTTTTTGCCTTTGCACAGCAGAATTTCAAAACTTCCTGTTTTACAGTAGACAAATCCTTGTAAAGGGAAATCACCATTGGAAGATAAAGTCATTAAATTTTACTCAAAAGCCATCACATTCTGCATATTATCTTTTCTTTTTTTGTTAAGAATAAGGCCAAAATAATGTTTTCACTAATTTTTGACAGAAAAATACATATAGATACGAGCCATCAGTAGAGCCAGCCATCACTATACCAAACACAATCTGGTGCGGTTGATTGATGCACATGCAACGATTAATGAAGGTCATAGGGTTTGAGAGGTAGGTAAATAGCAATCAGCAATGCAGGCACATTTCATTTTAAACAGATAATCTTACATGATAAATGGTTCCCAAAGATGGCCTTGGTCACAGTCTGTCATGTGATAGTAAAATCAGCATATCTCGCTGCCTGTTTGTGTTCCTCGAGCTTGTACTTGTACTTGTACTTTGCTGGGTCTCATCAATTTCCAGCAATCAGATTTGATGATGAAACTTCCATTTTAGCATCTTAATGCCTTTTAGATGTGATATCTTTAGTTCTCCAGGCTAAAAAGTGCATTTATTGACAAGCTTTTTTCAAATGGGGATATTTCTCATTTAGGAAATCTCCCACCTGGTAGAAGTTTGAATGAGAAGTTTGGTAGAGGATCAGTTTAGTACCTATGGGAGCTGAACCCAAATCTGCCCATAATAGGGTATGATGGTGTCGCATGTACTTCATCCACACACTTACTAAAAAATAACAGGCTGCTAAAAATGGCAGATTTTCCCGCAGATTTTACTGGTCTGAGCTCAATTAACATCACTATTACTTAGCCCCTAAGACTGATGAGGACAATAATGAACAAATTGACCATTGTCTTATCCTGGTCTACTAAACCTATGACTATACCTGTACGTATTTTTACACTGATACCTTTAGGGTGTTTAATTATATCAAGTTTATCATAGGCGGCGGAACGGGGAGGGCACCGGGGCACCGTGCCCCCTTTGATTTTGGCATTTTAACATTAGCCCTATGGGTGTTTGCATGGAAAGAATGGGACCAAAAGTCGGCAGTGCCCCCCTTGATTGAAGGTGTTCCACCGCTACTGAAGTTAATATAGCCTTGCTATGGGCCATAGCATAGGCACGTAAAACATCAAACGTGTGCTACGACCTGAATTGGAGTCGTTTGGCGATAGTGACCTGTCTCTGACTGAGCGATAACTTGAACTGCTGGCACAGGCAGGAAAGTACAATTAGGGCCTACGATAATTACACATCAAGGATAAATCACTTCTTACCTGTCGTAGAATAAATACAAGCAAATTAATTGATCTTATATATAAACAAACACTTCCGCAAATTTCCCCAATATCAATATCAATATCAACCAACGCGCGCACACACGTGTAGATCTTGATCCCTCACAATTGTCGCTTCTGCGCTAGATAGGCCTATATTGAGCAGTTACTTTGCTGCTATATTTTATAACTGAATTTTTGTCAAACAATATTCCACTGCCAACACAGCGGCCATTCTGAAATTTGAAAACCATGAACTGTAAATATGCGAACTGACATGCCTACCAGAACCAAGGGCCTATAAATACAAAGCAGGGACCATTTAGTTTGTCTTACATTTCATTAGCCATTGTTAATCCGGGGACGAGCCGGCAAGCAGCAAACCAACCGAGACAAAAAGGGCAGGCAGTAAAAATCACAAGCCACTTGTTGAGAGTGAAAGCAAAATGCTAATCCCTTATTCGAATCTCTCTAAAAAAAATGATCATTTATTCTTTTCAACGACAAAATACGGGCGAAATACCGCAGCTTTAAACAATAAAAACTGTATATTGTAACGAGCAAATCAACATTTTCAAATTTCACACATAACACTCGGTTATCTATCTCGAACGATACCCAAATTACAAGACAGCGTACCTTTCCATGTTTTGTTTGACGATCACATGACCTAGTGTAATTTACCGCACGTGATAACGTGCAAACCGTGTTTGTGCATGTGCATAAACTACTGCAACATAACCAGCACTGCAGCATTAGAAAGACTTGTCATCCGGTAAGTCCACTTCCTCCTTGCGGCATAGCACATTCGGACCGAAGCAGCTTTCGCGACACACATACCCATTCAACACTGGTTTTGATCGGGCCACGCAGTAGGTTTTCACGCACAACACGAGCATTGCGTACAAATAGGCATTATAGGTATGTTCACATTCGCAGTGATCGACAAACTTATATGCATCATCTAGAGCTGGAAAGAGGTGCTTCATCCAGGTTAACGTCAGCCCTCGCCAAAAGTAAATACCGAGCTACCAACATAATACCGCATTCCAAACACCTCCCTGATCATCACCGCCTGAGCTGCCACCTGGCGGTCACGTGCGTGGCTGATGCTGCCAGCTGGCGGCCAGAACGTGGTTGGTCCTGCCACCTAGCGGCGGACGTCGCAGCGCTGGAGGTTGCGCTCGGGCCGCAGCACAAAGTCGACGATGTGGATGACGCCGTTTGAGATGGGGATGTCGGCGCGTATCACCTGAGCCTGTTTGCTGACTGTAGAAATGCGACCTGTCGGGTAGAAGCAGAACAGTCAGGATACCAGCCAAGGGACGAAGACTGGGAATAGGTTATAGGGTGCCTCCCGGCTGGTCCTGGCCTGATGGTGAAATAAATGAGGTTGAAAGCAACAAAGTGTGGACAACATATTTACTTGTCAACTATAACCGCAGAAGACAGACTCATATAACTGAAGGCGCAACGAATTGTAAGCGGCGTTGAAAAAAAACGTACGATCTAAGCTCGAACGGAGACACGTCACTTCCTAGGTGCGGCAGGTCCGCACATAGGCCCCCGATTAACACGCTGTCACATTGTGATGGCGCTACTCACGCGTGTATCCGTCAGTGACAACCTGTAGCTCGAGCTCCTGTCCGTCGAGCAGCGTCTCCAGCCACTGGCCGTCGCGCAGTCCGGCGCTGTAGAACGTCCCCGGAACCATGTGGTACAGCAGCGAGTCTAAACGACACAAACAGACCGTCAACTGAAGTGAACACGGTATTATTATGCGTAGTCAAAACATAGTCATTAGTGAGAGAACTGCAGTTTCCGAACGTAAAAATTATAACATTGCGGTTGTTATTGAACTAAATGCACACAAAACTAAATTTAGTGCACATCTTCACTAAAAATACTAAATGTTTTGGAGTAAAGCGGTATCAATCCGAGGAATGTTCTGCTCTTCTATGTACTTTGCATGACTTTGGTGCTGTTGCTGAAGTCCTCCATCAGCGAGTTGGGGTCGGAGAAGGCGGCTGATATCGGCAGGAACAGGGTCAGCGGCGCCTGCTGACTCAGCAGTTGTGACACCCCCAGCTTGGAGAGCATGTTCGATACACCTGCAAACACCGACAGTGCCGTCAGCGCAGAGAACGTATTGGAGAGCGCCAGCATGAGTGTCCATCCCAAGCTATGCATTACCAGCGACGTTGAATACAGCATTCGGAGGCCCACGATTATATTCCACACTAAAAAGCAAAAAGCACGATTACACCAAATGTTGCTAAAAAGTCCTCGCCCGCCCTGCCACCATCCCTCTCACCGGAGAAGTCCAAGTCGGCGCACTGCTGTGTCGAGACGTACTGCAGGGCGTCCAACACGGCCTCGGCGACCAGCGCCTTGTCCAGCACGTGGATCACGCCGCCGCTGGAGGAGCTGGCGTCACTCCGCAGCACCTGGGCGCCGTTCACCGTCACCACTCTCTGCAATAGGTCGGCAGAGTGAGCTGGTAATGCCGCAAAAGGTGAGGTGATTAATGGAGCAGACCATGGACGCCCAAATTTGAATACATTCACATTCACAGTGATCGACACTTATAATACACAACGTCTTATTTCCAATCCCTGGCAAGTTTTCTATTCATTGTGGGATCAAGCTGCTATTTTACCATATGCAAGTTGATCATGATCAAAGTGTGAAATGCCGTATATCATATCGTACCTACTATCGCCGCATTCTCACCCACCTTGCTGTACCGGCTCATCTGGTAGATGTTGATGCGCAGCGTGGCGCCGCTGGGACTGGCGCTCTTCAGGACCATGTTGTCGTTGAAGGCGGACAGCGGCACGGCCAGCGGCGTGACGTGGTGCAGCAGCAGCTGGCGCAGGCGGCCCGGGTCGGCCGACAGCTGCCGGCGCAGACTGTACGGCAGCAGGCTCCACGCCTCGTCCGTGAACGCAAACACCGTCACGCCACCTGCGGATCCGATATTTTCAACAACGGTCGGGTGAGGTCGTATAGCGGTCACGTGAGGTCACACGCTGGTACGGTTATGTGGGGTCAGCAGTGACCGGAAGACAGTCAGGTGGAGTCAGACGACGGTTACATAAGGCAAACATGTGAGGTTATGGGTTTAAAACTCTCGCCGGACCTATTGGTTTTCTACATACGCGCCGGCCGAGGGGGGGGGGTGCGGGTACGACCCCCTTCGCCGTTTCGCCCCTGGTGGAGCTAGCGCGTCGCGGAAAAGACGAGCGTGTGCGCCGTTACAAGACGCAGAGATTGATACCGTAAGGTGGGGCTATTTGAGACAGTGGGGCTATTTGAGACAGTATTTATAATTGTTATAAAATAAAAACCGTTTGAAATTTATGCTTAATTTTTGCTCAGGCGATTTACTGCTCGATTCCACACCTTCCTGAGCAAAAATATCGCGTAAAAATCTAACAATCTTCACTTTATAGCGGTTTTAAATACTGTCTCAAATAGCCCCACTGTCTCAAATAGCCCCACTTTACGGTACCCGATTTTAAGGTCCTAGGTCAACCGGTGACCTCTGAGGTCAGGTCAAGTGCCCCAAGGTACGGTTCAATTTTTGGTGAATAACTTCGCAAAAAAAAACCGCCGCAGAGCCGCGATTTTGGCAGCATCGTGTTCGCCTCGCTCAGGCGCGTCGAATGATATACTTTTTGTTCGGGTCAGGTCAACTTAGGGTGTTGACCAAGGTCAGGTCAGCACCCCCAGGCCTCGAAGTTGGTCGAAAGAGGTCATGTCGCATATCATTCGATTCGGCAGGTCTTCCTGAGTCCATTGGTGGCTTTCCCGACTCGCTAGCTCAATTTGATCGGGAGTTATTGACGAAAAACTAATATGACCTTGATGACGTCATAAATGACGTCACGTAAGGTCAACATTGCAAAAGTGACGCATCTAACCTTGCAAGGAGTGTATCAAATCACGATTCTGTGTGCTTGAGATAGTTGAAGATCGTTCCCGGCGCCAGAATAGCAGTTTTCATTTTTCCCCATTGACTTATAGGTAATGGTGAGGTCACGATAATGACCTGACCTCATATGACCTTTAGGAAAAATCCGAGATATACAAGTTGTGAGACTCATAATGGATATTAGATCCTGCAAGTTTCATTTCCCTGTGACATCTCCTCTGGCAGTGAGGGCGTTGCGAAGTTGCGACATCTGAAGATCTGAAGTCGGTCGCATTAGTTAGGTTGCTGATCGAAGGCGGACCGCTAAAATTCATTGTAATGGTATGAAATTCGATAATAATGATAATAACGCAGCCGTTTACTGTTTCTTTCGCTTTTCGTAATTGGCTGTCGGTCCAGACGGCTTCTAGATCTGAGTCACACCACACGATACTCGAGGCTGAGTGTTCTCAGACGAACCAGATGGTCCCATCGCCGGTATGATTGGCTAAGAGGGTCTCGGTGCTATTAATTGCCTGTTACGTCAGTTAGGTAATAGGTATGCATTACCGATTTAGACGACAACTGACTGCTAAGATTTGGCAGCGTGTGAAGGTGCTGGAAAGGACGGTTAACGCAACTTGTCATTACCAGTAAATAGCGCGAACTACATTACGATGCCAGTCAAATATCAGCCGAGACGGATTGTAGGTACTAGTGGTGTCAATCGGGAACCTTCGGAATTCCGATTTTATCCAATGTCCTATTCTGAATTTGGTTGGACAACAATGGCAGCAGCAGGCTTTGGACAACATTGGACAATTACTTCCTACACATCAACATTTTTATAAAGAAATCGTGTATAGCATTGATTTGCGAATAAAAAGCTCAGCTCTCGATATGAAAAAACACTTTTTAGCTGGTAATATACATTAGGAAATTTAATGACAGTGTTGAACTGTTGAGTGTCGATAGCCCCACCCAGAAACTACTTTGTGACCAAATTTCATTGACCTAGATCAAACCGATGACGTCACAGGTCAGGTCAAAGGTCGGATTTTCACCGTTCACAGGCATTTCAAGAAATGTGTTGTGAAATCGAGTAAATTGGTAAGTTTTTGAAAACCATCGATGGTACATTATTCGTCAAACACATACTTTGCTATCTGAGGTCACTGATGCCAGGTCAGGTCACAGAGGTCAGGTCACTGGGGGGTCACAATATGAAAGTGTCGTGTGGTGCATGTTTTATGGTCCATTTTACAGGTCGGAAACACGGAGGTCCCCAAGCGTTTTCGTTTTAATTATATGAATCCAATTAGTATCACAACATGCTATAATCCAACTATCTAACATTCCCTGCCAGTAAAATGCAACAGCTTACCATTTAAAGCTGGCAAAATTGACCCCAAAACACCACATACCTCACCCCTCGCAACCGACGCTGACGCCATGCTGGTTACGGCGGATGAACACAATTTATAAACAATCAAGGCTGCAAAAATATCAGATGCGTTTCGCGTGCACAATTTTTTATCGCAGCCAGAAATGACAAACAATACCAAGGTTCTCAAATTGTTATGTCTAAAGCGCGGACAACTTTAAATTTGAGAAAAGCGATTATTACTCGATGAAATTCAAAGAGGTGTCCTAACCTAACCTAACCTAACCTAGCCTAACCTAACCTAACCTAACCTACTGATTTTTGCCTACCAGGCATTAAGAAACCTAACCTAACCTAACCTAACCTAACCTACTGATTCTTGCCTACCGGGAATCCTAACCTAACCTAACCTAACCTAACCTAACCTAACCTACTGATTTTTGCCTACCGGATAAGGAAATAGTTACTTGCAGGAATAGATTGCAGGCAATAGTAAATCAAATATTTTCAGGTTAAGTGGTCATGCATCAGGCTTCAGGCCTTCGGCCTGAAGCCAGATACATAACCATTTAACCTAAAAATATTTGATTTACTATTGCCTGTAATCTCTCCTAAGGCATTGCCTTCGGCACTGCACTGCTTCGCCACGAGTTGGCCACAGACGAAAACATGTACAGTACAGGCGAAGAAATGTTGGACGAAGAATGAAAATATGTACAGACAAAAAAATGCACGGACCAAAAAACGAAAATAAAGAAAATGCACGAACGAAAATATTTACGAACGAAACATTTCTGAAGACTTTTTCAGAAAAGTCGCTATCATTCGTCGACAGATCTGGCGCATCTCGTGAGGCGCTTTACCGAAAAAGAAAATTACCGAATTCTCTTCTATTAAAAATTAAAAATACAGAACCGTAATTCCAAAATTATTTGTGTATATCTATCACTTTTTCATAAAAATAGTCCCCCCCACCCAAAACCCCGGTTTCCCACAGTTCCCCTAGTGTGTTGGGTTTTATGAAGATACTACATTTCTGCGTAATGGTATTTAACAACAATTGACATGTTGACAACAGACCGTCGTGCGGCTCCACCGAGATCGTGGTAAGAATACGATTAGTTAGCTTTTGGTCTTAAAATTATCGATCAGATAACTGGAAACCACATTATTCTTACTAAACATGAGTTTCTCTATAGAATGATGTCTATATTATAGGGATTAACTAATTTTGAAGCGGGGACCTCCATGTGTACCGCCATTTTACATGACAAATGCGATTATGTGGGTCAGGCAGCCTTTGGGGCCAGCTTAGGTCACGTTTTCGTGGGTCAGGTGAAGGTCAAGGTCAGGTCAAATTAGGTCAAATTTCAAAATTGATATTTTTGCATAAATTGGGTATCGATTCGATGCAGCTCGTCACGGGGAGTCTATTGATGGTCTTTGTTTTGCCCTACGTAGTCCAGAATTGCCAAAAATTGAGTTTGAAAATTTAACGTCATCATTTTCGAAGTTTTTTTTTTTTGCTATAACTTGGCCAAAAACGAGATGTCGATCTGATATTTGGTATGTAGATAGAAGACGGTGGGTACTATCACATGTACTCCGTTTTTTTCGAAACTCAAAAAACTCTTTGGATTATTTGGCTAATATATCCGAAAAAAATAATTTTTTGATTTTTGAGGGTCAAAACTAAAAAAAATCAAAATTCCGAGATAGCAGTTTTGCAGCCCTGTCAATTCTACACCTTTGACGTTGATGATTTTTCTGTATCTTCACAGCTGTAGGCCTGACAGCTCTTCTTGCGAAGGTCTTTTTTTCGGTCGAAAATGGCCGAACATGACGTCATTCTGACGTCATTTGTGGCCAACCTATCATAGCCTCCGGATCAATTTTTGGTCACAATGTGTAAAATTGATGCCCGGAGGGGTCCTGAAAGTTTGGTGGCGATATCTCCAGCCGTTTAGGAGATATCGACGGAAAAGGACAGGGGGGCCGTTTCGGCCCTCCCCTACGGGGCGCGGGTTATTAATTAACTATTGCGTAGGTTTTGGACATCTTTGGACAAATGGCTGGCTTGGGCATTTTTGGACGGACAGACGACGTAAGTCTTGGACTCTAGACGGACATGGACATACATTTTCTGAAACCATGACACCACTAGAAAGTACGCGTAGTGCGCGACTGTTTTGCCACGACCGTCCCGCAGAGCTCAGAAGCACTGCGGTGCAGCATCGCTCCAGTGTATGATACAGCGCACCGTCAGTCGGGGATGGTCGTCTCAAAATAAAGTCGTGCAGGACTCAGGGTTACTGCGATGCAAATCGAACCCAGGCCCCGGGTGGCGGGGACTCGATAGGATTCTTGACTACTCAGTGTTAACTTACATATGTGGTAACTGGTAGGTCAGTTGGTGAGAGCATTCGCAGCCTGGAAAGTCAGTGAATGGGACGACGGACCACGCCATAGACTGCGTCCTAACAGGCTCCGACTACGATAAGTGATAACTCATCCATTCGGTATTCGCAAGTTGCGAACTAAAGACTTATATAATTATGTGCAGCAGGTGTTGACTGTCGAGGGTAAAACGGCTGTTGGTGCAATATTAATTAATAACATACTAATCATTGCATCATCGAAATGTAGCGTAATACATTATAGGTACGGCCTCTAACGGTCTCCTTCTGTAACTTCGTAATATCACAGCTGCTGGTGAACAGCTGTCACTATTTTCTGGAGCTTCGGGACCGGCTGGCGGTCCTGAACTGAGGTGGGGGTGTATGACGGCGGTCATTAGCGACACGTGAAGACCGACTGACGCTGTGTAATCGTGATGGATCAGCAGTGAATCGTGATGGATCAGCAGTGGACACTGCAGACGGGACAGCGGACAGATCAGTCGCGCGCGTTGTCCGCTGCTGGACAGGGAACGGTTCTTGGATACAAGGGTGTCCAGGAGACAAGAAGAGCGTCGCCGTCCGTCATAGAGATAGACAGATAGATAAGCTTTATTTCAGACTCTGCAGGTCCATACTCTTAAATACTGATGATTTCAGCCAGTGCAGTGGCAAGACAACCAAATGTCACACAATCATTCGGGCCTGTTTCAGCACTCGCGCAGAGCTATGTGCTAAAATGAACGTACAGTTGCTGTTGCCAGTGGCGCCTCGGGCGAGAACGGTATTTTACACTCGAATTTACATATAGAACAGTATTTTACATATAGAAGTTCGAGTCACAATAACAAGCATGGCCTTAGTTCGGTTTACTTCCAATGGTACAAGGAACATTAAAGTTATGTTGAAATCACCTTTCCAATGTCTACTTAAATGACACTTCACGGGAGCGCCATAGAAGTTCGCAAGGGTCATTAATATAAAGACGTCCTTGAGGTAGGCTGGCTGCTGTTACAAGACCGCGTCTTCATGGCGCTGCAGCCGTTAACACATTCCCATTGTCAAATTAAACAAAGCTAGGTTGTTCTTTTCTGTCACGGTGGAGCATGTGACCCATTTTGAAGCTGCAGGTTACAGCTCTAACGTGAATGAGATGACACCACTGTTGTGCAACATGAGACCTCTGCGTGTCAGCAGCCTCTGGAGTCACGGTAACGAACCAGTGACGTCACATACCGTGACGGCTACGTACACAAACAATGTGACTTGCATAACACCCATTTACATTTAGTTGTAGTAAAAGAGTAGCTCTACATCCTCTAGGATGTAGCAGGTGTTAGCTGGATTGTATTTCGGTGCATGGCTGGTGGTCACTTATGTGTAATGGAAGCAACAAAACGAGATACAACTATGGGCGTAGGAACGGGGGGGGGGGCGGGGGCTGCATGCTCCCACTTTTCAGCCATCCTTTTCAGTAAAATCTTTTTTTGATTCAAATACAAAACTAAGAGCAGGAAATGGTTCAGCAAGGTGAAATGAGCACAAAACTGCAAAGAATTTCTTCATAGGAGTATTGGGGCTCCCGCAAAGTGACATTGAAGTTTCGCTGCCCCCACCCCCACACACACTTTTCGTGAGGTTCCTTTCCTACCTCCATTATACAGACGACAAACACAGTACCTAAGTCAAACGCTGCATTTTATCAAAGACCAAAATAAATTACTGAATTTACCAAACCAATAAAGTTGTGTAAAGCAGCGTTGCGGTCGCACTCGGCGTCAGTACCGTAAACTGTAACGTTTGAAAGGTTCATGGCCCATGGGTCTAAAATATGCAATATAGCGCGGCCTTTTGTCCTCAACCGATGCAACACACGGAAATAGGGCTATGTTGTCCAGCACCAGCAGCACTGGGCGGTAAGTAGGTACCTAATCATGTGGCTAAATGAAAACGGCACCGAACTGAAGCGGTCACGCTGCAGTGTGCTACCGGCGGTCAAGGTCGCTGGCGGGAGAGCGCGCAGCCGAAAGATCCCGCTCTGTCCAGAAACACTCATTCGGAAATATATAGACTATAGAAAAATATATAGACGACGCTGTTTGACTTATATGTATATTTCCAAGTGACAGGAGCTTGCGGGTGCTTAGAGCTTATACTTTGCAAACCTCGGATTTTTCATGAAGGTCACTTGAGGTAAGGAAGAGCACACGACCATATAACTCTTTGCGTGTTTGACGTCACCTACGACGCCACCGAAGCTAACTATAACTATTTCAAGTAACCGTAATTTTTTGTCAAGAACTCTCAATCAAATTGCATATGCACGAGCGGGGCCCAAACAAGAGTGTAGGTAGGAGCTCATCCCTCACCAGCTAGCGTCGGGTACTCACCGCGAGACTCGAGGACCTTCTCCAGACCGGCGCGCTCCACCAGCGCCAGGAAGCGCAGCAGGCCGAGCTGGCGCAGCCGGTCGGTCAGCGCCGCCGGCTGCTGCAGCACCGGCTGGTCGCTGCTGGCCGCCGCCTGCAGCTCCGTCTGCGGCCCCTGCTCCTCCACTCCCGGGCCGGCCGCCGTGCCGACCTCCACCAGGTTCGAGCTGAGCTCCGCCAGCTCCAGCCGGGCTGTGGCGCCGCCCGCGCCCCGCGGAGAGATCAGCTCCTCCTCGGCGGTCAGCTCGCTCTCGGGACGCACGTAGGTGGCCACCTTGTCCGAGGCCTGGCCCTGCGGCGGCAGGTAGCGGTAGCCGGTGTGCGGCGGCCGAGTGTGGACGATGGTGGTCGAGTGGGTCGGTCGGGGAGGGGACAGCGGACCGGCAGACGCTGGACCGACCACAGTGGTGTACGGAACGCCGGGGCCGGGCAGCCCGGTGGTCAGCGTGGGCAGCACACCCGTCAGGGTCTCCCGCGGCCCGACACCCACCGTCGTCGAGTGGTAGTGAGAGTGGTAGTGGGTGTGGTGGTTCAGACTTCCTCCGCTGCCGGAGTGGCCTCCCGTGCCTTTTCCACCACTGTAACCTCCGCTGTGGCCTCCATTGCCTCCCGGGTAGCCTCCCGTGCCCTTTCCACCGCTGTGACCTCCACTGTGACCTCCGCTGCCTCCGGGATAGCCACCGGTTCCTTTTCCTCCAGTATGACCTCCGCTATGACCTCCGCTGCCTCCGGGGTATCCGCCGCTGCCCTTTCCTCCGTGACCGCCGGTGCCAGAGCCGCCTGGGTAGCCTCCGGTTCCTTTTCCTCCACTGTGTCCCCCGCTTCCACCCGGGTACCCTCCGTCTCCCTTGCCTCCTCCGGTGCCGGGGTAGCCGCCGGTGCCTTTGCCTTTGCTCGGCGGCCCGTACGAGTTGGAGGGCGGCCGCGGACGGACGTTGGGCGGTCCGTACGTGGTCTGCGGCCGCGGCGGTCCGTAGGTCAGCGTCGGTCGGATCGGCGGTCTCGGGCGCGGAGGACCGTAGTGAGACGGCACCTTGCTCGGTCCCGGGTACTTCCCCGAGTTACCTTTGCCCTTGCCCTTGTTGAAGAACGGGAAGAAAAAGGCGTCCGCCACAGAGACGAGGCCCAGGGCCAGCAGAACAAGATCGCACCTCATGGCCGTTCTCCGACAAAGTCCGAGGAGCGTTACACTGAAGACGTCCCCTCAGCCAGACGCACGACGCACAAGTGCCCCTGGAGTCGGACGGAGGCCGCTGGTCGACTTTCATCTTCGGCCGGCGCCGCGCGAGGACGACACTTTTTCTCTCGATGCAAGCGGGGCGCGAATTACAAAACGGCATCCGGGCCGATACGGCGACGGGGCGGCGTCTGCGGCGCCGCGGCGGCGGACGGGCCGGAGAACAATACGCGCTGGGTGGCGCAAAGTGACGCCGCGCCCTCCCCAGTTGCCGCGCCACGAGCGGCGCGCAATCCGTGCGAAACGGAAAACGAAAGTGCGCCGTGCCGCGGCCTCGGACGACACGCCGGCCAGGTGGGCTGCACGTGCCGGCACGCGCCCGGCGGCGACAGAGGACTGGTAATGAACGCCGCCTCACGGACCTGCCGTGTACCGGCGCAGGCTACCTGGCAATTACACCGTCACCGTGTCTGCACGTGACGAAAACGGGGCAGCGGTGGCATCATCTTGGACAGATGCGTGGCCGGCAGACCGCATCGACCCCACATGCAAGCGGCAATTATAGTGTCACGATGCAACTTCTTACAATGGGATTCAGAACGCAGTGCGTTAGCGCCTGGACGTGGCCATCGTTCATCACAACGCACGCAAAGACACAGAATGAAAGCAAGGAATGGGTTAGGTATCCTTTTTGCGACAAGTGATTAGGGCCACACAATTTTTTGTTATTGCTCGAAACTCGTTTGAGAAAAAGGCTTAACTTTGGCAAGCCTGACATTTTCTTTAGGCCTTCGCTTGCTTTGGTCTTTCGCTGGGACTGGGGAAATGACTCTCATGAAGTTACCCTAGCAATTTGTGAGACCTTTGATTAGGAGATTCAACTCTCAGGTAGACTCTTTATCCCAGCAACTTCAGAGATCTTTCGCTTGGAGATAAAATTCCCATGAAAGAGTATATTCTCGACTCCTTATTCTTTTTTATCAGGGAGTTTTTTATCAGGGTAATTTTTCAAAAGATTTTTTTTTTATAAAAGTCATCAGAGGTCCGGTCGGCGCCATTACTAAACTTCGTCTCTGAGAACAGGTACAAAAAAGAGAAACTGTTCATGTCGCGCCCAACATTTGGCACCTCATCATGTATCATAGTATCAGTAGGTTTAGCCCGCGCACCGACGGGGGTCTGCGCCAACTTCGAACCGACGGGGAGGGGGGCGGATGACCGCCCCCCCCCCCTGAGATCTCGAGAACGAAGCAAGATAGCGACAAGCGATAAACGGTATCGGATACGCACGGACCAGGTCTACAATTTTTACAAAGGTCATTTTCAGGTCAGGTCAAAGATGACGTCACAGGGGTCCAAAAAGTCAAAATGGCGGCGCTAGATATGGAGTTTTTTTCTCGAATAACTTTCGAATTCGTCAAGATAGGAACAAACCAAGGGCATCATCGTGATCCTCTCGTCAATCCGCATCGAATGATATATATGTTGACCTCGAAAGGTCAAGGTCAGAGGTTGACCTCAGGTCACGTGACCTCGAGGTCATCATGCATATCATTCGATGCGTCCTGACGAGCTGAACACAATGAGACCATCCGCGCGGCTGTATCTTGTTTCTGTACGGAGTTATTGGCAAAAACCGCTGGTGACCTTTGATGACGTCACATGACCTTACAGTTACAGCTCCCCAACAGCAAAACAGACCTCAAGGTAGTTAAGGTTGATCGTATATGAAGTCATGCATGATATATCATATATGGGGCCATTCCGACCCGTTTTAGTGGTAAAAACAGGGAGTTAATTTTTCCCCCATTGACTTATGGGGAGGTCGAGATATTGACCTGACCTTAGGTCATCGACATCAAAATTCCGAGATATACAAATTGTAGCTACTAATGACCTAATCCTGTGACTTTCAAAGGCCTCCGACATCTAGGTACTGTAGCTCTGGCACGGTGACAAGGTTGCAAAAAAGTGACTTGAGGTTGGGTCATTCAAAGTGAACTGGTGACCTAATTAAAAGTAAGGAGTTTCAAACTTGCACACCATGTGTAAAATTGATGAGAGAATAGTCGTACCAAATTTCGCGGCGCTACGCGCCTCGGTTTTCCGCTAACCGCGAAAAACCTCAGGGGGGGGGGCGGATATCCGCCCCCCCCCCGTCGGTGCGCGGGATAAAGCACATGGAATCGTGATTAGGTACATGCCCGGTTCCATGGTACATCGATAGTTTTTTTCATTTCGAACCTTTTATAGTGTCATATAACATGCATGGCCTCATACAGGTGATAAGTTATTTGAAGCCATCCGAATGTTTGACAATATGTCCGAAATTAACCGAGTAAGCGAGTCAGAAAAACGCACCAATGAACTCTCATCGAGCTGCAAAACCCAATGCTATGCAGCGAGATCTCGCTCGCCCAGCTTCCAGATCTAACCGGCTTTGACCTGGCCCCGACCTGACGTTAACACCGGAGTTGACCTCACCCAAACAAAAAGTAAATCATTCAGCGCGCCTAGACACGAAGAACGCAATAGTGCCCAAATAGTTGCTTTGTCGCTTTTCTGTGCAATTATTCACGGATAACCGGACCATGACCATTGGGTTTATGACGATCTCATAGATCGCTGGTTGGCCTGAGATGCTAGACTTTTGTCATATTCACTGGTCCCGTGACGGCAAAACGGCAAGAGTACGTTGACTGTTCCGGAAAATTATCAAACATAGCGCCCAAACAGCGAAAGGGTTGTAACCTCCCCTATGCAGGGGTGTTTTTTAGAAAACCGATACCCAGGTACGGCGACAGTTATAAGTCAAAACCGATATGTAGTCAGCCCCTCCTCCCACAGTCCTATAACGTGGGACCTCTGGTGCGCGGGTGGCCAAACTTTCCCCGCTGCTCCACCGGCGGCGGCGCGTCATATTGGTCGCCAATTTGTTGTTACAATGGCGTCACGGTCCAACAGCCACGGCGTCACACAGCCGCCCGAACGGGGCCAATGTCTGTCCCCGCCCCGGTGTCAACTGGACTTCGAACAAGGGAGTGTTAGAGCGAGCGAGGATGTTACTCGTATTGTCCGTCGTATAGCAGAGGAGCAGCAATAGGGTGAACGCTGGGAGATTTCAAGAATAACGACTCAGCGTCTGGCAATAGTTCAATACTTTCCCGGCCAACAGTGAAAAGTCCTTTGACTAGAGTAAAAGTCTCCATTAAAAATCGCAATCAAGATGTTGGAGCTGACGAAACAGTTTTGCATCTTTTCAAGACCATAATATATCGGTGAGGATTACCCGACGATCGTCGATTGAAAAAAAAAAAAATGCCTACAACAATCCAGCCCTGACCCGGCTTCTGACATTTTTCACAGCATCGTCTGGTGAGCTTGCTCGTCTGCAACCACCACGAAACACAGTCTACTGCTCTAAGTAGATGGCGGACTTTCTTCACGGAGCTGAGGAACATTACAGCATCAACAGAATCTACACACGAGCGTCGGCTAAGCCCCTGTCATGGGGCTGCGATTGAGAAGTCCCACAAAGCCATCACCAATCACCATCATGTATCCGGGTTATGTATTCACCGCTAAGAAAAATGGTTTACGCCTCCGATGACCAATGAAACACTTAAATTCGAGATAAAAGTAGTCTGTATCTCAATAATTTTCCCAAGTGTAGGGAATTTGATATCTATTTCTGGTGGTTGTGTTATATAAGTATGTCAAGTTCAAAATAGTTTATACAGCTCTATTGCATAATTAAACACATCTCACGCAACTAACAAATCCCTTAAAACGTGTTTGTCGGTCATAACCGATCAGTTAAAGAATAACAAAATTGATCAAGTTACAGCATTGAATCAACACCACAAAAAGAACTAAACTATACACACTCCGTAACGGAAATTGATTCGCAAATACGCCCACTACGAAATTTTAAATATGAAAGGATGCTACAGAACATGTGCAGATCAAGAGATGCCTACTAACTGGCAGCAAAAAGTGACTCCCAAATGCAGCAATTAGCGCGACCTGCCATCGCTCGCGCAGTATCACCCAGGAGGGGAGTGAAGAGCGGCTAGTCTCTGCCACTAAATCACCACTCCTCGGACCGTTTACGAGACCGCAGCGCTCGGCGGTCCGAGTAGCAGACAGCACTCGCTCGCTTCGACAGCACAGACCGCACACACAGAGATAAGGCAGCCACAGCCCGGACCACGGAACCCTCGACTGAAGGAGTCGCCGCACCATTCACTGGTGACTCGGCAGCGCCGCGGGTCCCAGTCCACACTAGATTCAGCGCCAAACTGAGAAACAAGCAGAGTCGTCCCCAGCAGAGCGGTGCCGCCGCCACATCCCGGCTCAGTTAGTCTTAGAGCGCACAATTACGTCGGCAGAGCATGGACTATGGCGGACGAGAGTCTAACCAGCCGCGCGACAGTGAAATTCACAGAGAAGACCGTTCTCAGTATGCTGCTCAGCGCAGCGCGCCCCACACTTCAGTCGTAACCCACCGACATGGGTGTGTCTGACCTGTCGCGCCCCAGTCCGGCGCGGCGCGGCGCGTCCCCGGTGACTAGCTCCTCAGCGCCTGGAGCCGCTCCTGCATCTCTTCCAGCTCCTCTTCGCCCTCGGACTCCTGCGCGGCCGGCTCGGCCGACGGCAGCGAGTCGCCGACCGCGTCCGGCGCCCGGCCCAGCTCGCCCTTGGTGATCTCCCACAGCACCTGGCGGAAAGGCGTGGCTAGTCAGCTGCTGACCTGCTATACGCACACCTCCTGACCAGTATACGACAAGAAATGATAACCTAACCAGCATGGGGAGTAGACAAGCTGTATTGACTTTAAAACTATCCGGTCTCTATCACAGGGATCAATAAAGGTCATAAGGTCAATTCGGGCTTTGAACGGAACAACAGTTTGAAGGCCAGGCCAGGAAGCTAATATTTCCCAGGTTTCTGTGAGGCCTTTAAAGGAAAAGGGCCACCTTCGTGAAATATGAAGATATCGTTGTTTTTCATTTTGACATTATTATTTTTCATTTTCTTTTTAAAACTGGTGCCAGAAGTGCACAATTCGCGAAAAAGTATTTAAAACTATTTAACATATTGGTACTATGTTGATACTCTCTACGGCACCTACTGTATGATGGCACAGCGATGACGTCACACTCAAGCCAATCAGCGTTCAGAAGACAGACTCGTCGGATTGTATCAGATAAGCTGATTGGTTAAAGCTGAGCTGGTTGGAGCTGATTGGTAAAAAACCAAAGCCTCGCCGCGGGTGGCTGTATTGTCGGATAAGAACGCATTCCTGGGATAAGGACGCATTCCTGGCGTATTTTCTTTTAAGATTGCCGATAACTACGAATGGAGGCCGAAATCGGCCGTAAGGAGGTTGACAGATAAGTTTTCGGACACGGGCTACAAGATGGCTATCTCAGTTTCAATCCCCATGTTAAAGGTGGCCCTTTTCCTTTAACACTCACTACTAGGCAATAGAAAATAAGCTGCTGAGACACAAACACAAGAGAAAGAAGATAACAACAACGCAAGAGAAAAACGGACCGGGCCCCCACCTTGTCGACCTCCTCCTGGGCGGCCTCCTCCAGCTCGTCCTGGTCATCCAGTCCCTCGAACGTGTCCTCCATCATCTCCTCCAGGATGCCGGCCTTCATCATCTCCTTGGACATGTCCTGCATGGTCTTGGCCACCTCTGGCACTTTAACCAGCTGCTGCATGGCTTGCATCACCTCTGTACTCTGCGACATGGCGCCCGCCACGCGGATCTGGGCTGCAACGCGCGGCGCACAACGCTAGTCAGGCGCACAGCAATTATTATATTGTTCAACGAGCACAGTATATTGTCATGTCTGGTCAATAGTCAATGATAAGTCATAAGACATAGTGATATTTAAATGAACTTTTTATGCTCCTAGATAACATGCGATTTTAGGGACCCCAGACTTAAAATGGCATAGGAGTCATTAACTGTCAATATGGCGTTATATTTAAGAAGTTACATCATTACAAGCATGCTCCAACCTCGATAAAAAAAGTGCCGAACGTGCTCGAGTGCCACACCTACCAAGCTGCTGCTTCATTTGCAGCGACACCGAGTTGATCTGCGCCTTTGTGGTGTAGATACGACTGATAGCCTTGCGCGAGTGGACCACTTCCTTAGCCAACACTGTACACACAGACCGGTCTCCCTTCTTTGCCGCCTCCTTTAAAGACCTCTTAACCTTTTCCTCCTCCCGCTGGATAGCTGAAAACACATGAATGCAATCAACATATAACACCTGGTTCAAAAAAGAAATACTTATACTACACAAGAAAATCGACATAAAAAACGAGTAAGCATTAACCCGCGAGTTGCTGGGGGGGGGGGGCGGTCAACGCCCCCACTTTTTTCGCCGCGCCATAAAAACGACGCGCCGCAGGCGCGCCAAAATTTAAGTACCTGTAGGGAGTTGATTGCAGTTTATTGTGACAAAGTTTCAAAAAAAAATCTGTCGGAAAATTTTTGAGATATCGAGGTTTTAGTGACGTCATTATTTCTGAGTTTTCGACCAAAAACGGAACATGTTCAAAAAATCATAAAATCACAGAATAGACATACAGACATGCCGTAAACGCCATTAGACTGCCAATACCATGAACAATCAAATGGCTATCTTCGATATTGATTATCGTTCCGCATTTTCCAAAATCTTGAACTGAATCTTGACAATTTCTCGTGACTACTTCACGACCATGATACATGCATTTCTTAAATTGAACTTTTTGAACCAAACACGTGCACATATGATAAAATGAATGTTACCATCGTGTTCTACGCCCAAAATCACCTATGGAACATGGGTCATAGGCTGCGAATATCAGTTTTGATTTTCGGGGATATGTGCCTACCCGGTTGACCTGACCTTGACCCTGCGGGCCTGACCTATGCTTGACTGACCCCTACATGGAGCTGACACTCTTGTAGGCCTTATATGAAGGATTGTGCACCGTTGTGACAGAGTTTATGACTAGAGGCGCCCATTACGAAGTCCTGAAGTCCATGCTACTGAAAGCCCGATTTCAGGTGTTTGACCTGACCTTGAACCGACCTGTGACCGCAAAATTCAACTTTAAAGTACTAGTCTGAAGCGTCTTGTCGCGTTCTTTCGTTTGCCGCCTCGTGCGTTTCGCTGCGCCTTCGAGATATCGGCTGGGGGCGTTTAACGCCCCCCCCCTTCCCCAGCAAACGGCGGGTGGCGAAATACCCCAGCAACTGCCGGGTTAAGTGGAAATTTCTGTGAACAGTAACACCCACTCAACTCAAATTATTTTACATATTTTGCAGTTGAGCATAATTTTTCAACCCTTTCATGAAATCCAAATAACTTTATCTGGAAAACTACAAAGCCCCTCACAGCTAGCTAAAACTACAGGGGGCCTTGTTAACTACTGGATACAATCAGCTAGCTGGCCAGCTGGCGACGTACAATTAGCCATTAAAAATTGTTACGTTTGACTTTGATATATTGTACGGTTATCGACCCTCAATGCATATACAGAACCAGTATAACGCCTTTTGGGGCGACTAACGGAGCGAGCGAGAGGGTGAGCCTTGCAAGTTGCACGTGCGAAATTTCGAGGGGTACCTCCAGCTGACTTGTGCACGGCACCTTACTAACCGGTCTCTAGCAATGTGCCAAATTTGAGCACAATCGGCCCAGCCGTTCTCGAGATCTGGAAGCGGCACCCTGCACGTGCGCACGTGCAAAATGGGTCCCAACTGACTTGTGCACGGCACCCTACTAACTGGTCCCTAACCGTGTACCAAATTTGAGCGCCATCGGTCCAGCCGTTCTCGAGATCTGGAAACGACCCCTGCACGTGCGCACGTGCAGCAGCACCCCAACTCTGGCACATGGATATGCAGTGTCTAGTGGGTGCCTACCTACATGCCAACTTTCAGCGCAATCGGCCAAGTAGTTACCGATATATTGCAACAATTACAAAACTGACACCCCTTCGTTTTGCTCGTAGCACGTGCATAAGGGGTCACCCACATGCATCGGGAATAGTCCAATACTTGGTAGAAGGAATGAAGCTACCCTACAAAAATTACCGCGTGTAAATCGGTCAAGTGGTTGCTGAGATATAAGCCTCGCAAAAGCGTCCGCACGGCCGGCCGGCAGAAATTTCCGTTAATCTAAGGAAAGACTCCGCTCGCTTCGCTCGCTCCGTAACAAACCAGTATAACGCCTTTTGGGGCAATTAACGGAGCGAGCGAGAGGGTGGGCCTTGCACGTGCGAATTTGCGAGGGGGTACCTCCAACTGACTTGTGCACGGCACCCTACTAACCGGTCTCTAGCGATGTGCCGAATTTGAGCACAATCGGCTCAGCCGTTCTCGAGATCTGGAAGCGGCACCCTGCACGTGCGCACGTGCAAAATGGATCCCAACTCCCAACTGACTTTTGCACGGCACCCTACTAACTGCTCTGTAACCGTGTACCAAATTTGAGCGCAATCGGTCCAGCCGTTCTCGAGATCTGGAATCGACCCCTGCACGTGCGCACGTGCAGCAGCACCCCAACTCTGGCACATGGATATGCATTGCCTAGTGGGTGCCTACCTACATGCCAGCTTTCAGCGCAATCGGCCGAGTAGTTACCGAGATATTGCAACAATTACAAAACTGACACCTCTTCGTTTTGCACGTGACACGTGCATAAGGGGTCACCCACATGCATCGGGAATAGTCCAATACTTGGTAGAAGGAATGAAGCTACCCTACAAAAATTACCGCATGTAAATCGGTTAAGTGGTTGCTGAGATATAAGCGTCGCAGAATCGTGACCACGGCCGGCCGGCCGGCCGCTCATACTCAGAAATTTCCGTTATTCTACGTAAGACTCCGCTCGCTTCGCTCGCTCCGTAAACAGACAAGAAATGCCAGAACCACGTGGACGATTTTGGAACAGAGGGAACTCGAAAGGATGTTGGCCCTCGGGGAGTGCCCCGAGCCGTAGGCTAGGGTAAAGATACGTACCTACGTCCCGCCAGAACCCCTGGCGCAGACGATTTCGAGCCGGGAATATCAGAAGGAGACCGTTCTCGAAGGAAGGTGAGACCAGGGTATATAGAAAGGTGAGACGTCCCGCCAGAACCCCTGGCGTAGACGACCCCAACACCAACCAGCACGGGGGCGAGGTACATATGTGGCGAGAGCTAGTGTCCAACTGACCGCCATCCCGGTCACCGCCCCGACGTGACCTCGTATGGGTCATACAAAAGTAAACTGAGCAGCGAGCGCTCATTGGTAAAGGCCAAATGACGTCATTGGCCCAAGTAATGCAAATCCACATAACAATATATAGATATGAACAGAGAACACGGTAGTATATGGACATTAAAGCGTAAAATGGCACTAATAGAAAAATTTATAAGTCAGAGTGGGTAGATATTTTATCTTGTATAATGAGCAATGATATTTGACAAGCTCTGCTATCGCCACCTTACTGTGCAAGCTGGCAAATAATCCAGTTAATAGCATGGCCTATCCCAAGAACATCTTGTGTAGTGCATGGATTTTTTCTAGTCTTAAAATAAAGCAGCTATCAGCTTACCTCTAATTTGTCTATCAAGTTGATATCCCTCTTTGCGGAGTTTCCGCGTCCATTCTTGAACCTGAGAACATTATATGGCTTGGGTAAAACATGCATATTTGACACAAAAGCCAACTTTGGTATCTTACAAACCTACCCAAACCTTTAATCATGCAAATACAGTGGTCTGGTAAAATAAAGATTTGGACTTCTTTGCATTTCAATTCCAATCACTCTTTGGCATAGGTTAATTCACCGTTCCGTGCTTCTATCCTCAGGATGCTGAAATCCTTCTCCTCCACGCCGAAACCCCCCCCCCCCCCCCCTGGACAGGCAACTTTATCTCATGCAGGCTACTCCCTTGGAGCGGCACCGCTGCTCCCGAGAGCGCACCCCGTAGCCGGGTGCAGTGAGTGCCTTGGGGCTGGGTGGCCTGTCCTCTGGACGGGCTCAGCCCCGGCGACTCACTAGGGTGCCTGCCCAGACCAATGTCTCCCCCTATATCCTATCATCCTTCCGGCTCTGAAATGGTCTCATTGGACCAAAAGGGCCTAACCCAACAAAACAAAACAAAAACAAATAGGTTAATTGCTTCAATCGAACAAAATAATGCATGGGTCTGACAATGGTGTGCCTAAAATTTGGATATCGTCCCCTCATCCTAGGTTTTAAGTCTCAAGTCTGATCTCACTGCAACTGAGCATGAGCATGGACGTAATTGATCCACAAGCCCAACACAAGCCGCAACCGATACCTAAGGGCTTACCTGTTCTTTCGGGTCAGGTTCTTTTGATCTTCCAAACAAACCCATTATTGAATCCCTGAAACCTATCTTGAATACAGAAATAACTCAAATATCAAAATAATTGGCCACACCTTCCACCAAAACATCGGCGATAATAACAAATAAATAACACTGTGCGCTGCCTCCAGTGTAAATGCCATAAATGCCGCATGCGCCAATATGGGAAGGTTGAGCTACCATATTTCATAAACAATTTTTTATGCAGATAATAATTTGAAGGTTTTTGGCAAAATGATATTGAAATTGTTTTCAAAAACACGTCAAACATGTTCGAAATATGGTTTTATCATTATGTTAACTATTTAGGTATAGGTATAGGTATATAGATAATGGACTTGGGGTAGCAGTATGCTATTTGTTGTCCATGTCATTGTTGGCAAGGAAACATGTCAGGGTACTCATTGAGGTTGGAGGTCACAGGTCACAGTTGGCTTTGAGCTGGAGGTGCTTATCTAGCTTAGCTTTAAATGTAGCAGTGGTGTCAGCAGACACAACATCATCTGGTAGCTTGTTCCAGTCATTAGCCACCCTCTGTGAGAAGAACCTTTGTCTGGCTTGATGGACTGACTGCTCCTTGTGTAATTTCATATGGTGACCTCTTGTGTTTGTCGTCCTCAGTTTGAAAAACTTCTCTCTCCTCACATTGAGCTTCCCTGACATGATTTTATACGTCTCAATCAAGTCGCCTCTTTTTATCCTGTCTTTAATAGATACGGTCTTCAGGACTTTTAGTCTTTCTTGGTATGGCCTGTGCTTTAACCCCCTCACCAATCTTGTAGCTCTGCGCTGGATGTTTTCGAGGAGACTGATATCTTGAACAGCTTGGGGACCCACAGCTTGTATACAGTAGTCCAGGTGTGGTCTCACATATGAGTTGAAGAGGCTGGTGAAGTTTGTTGCTGTGATTTGGTCAAAGGACCTCTTTATCATTCGGAGAGCTACCATTGCTTTGCTCGCAGCTCTTTGACAGTGACTAGTAGGTCGAAGGTCGTTTGTTATAGTCACCCCCAGGTCTCGCTCCTTATCTGTGACTTCTAGTTTGACTCCTCTAATACTGTAAGATCTTTTTGGGTTATGTGGTCCACAGTGCATCACTTTACACTTTTGGGGGTTGAATTCAAGAAGCCATTGTTCAGTCCATTGCGAGAGTCTATCTAGGTCTGCCTGAAGTTGTTCTGAGTCCTCTGAATTTCTGACCTTGCGATAAATCTTCATGTCATCTGCAAACAGTTTTGCGTCGCACTGGACCAATGTGGGCAATTCGTTGACATATATCACAAACAGGATGGGTCCCAATACTGAGCCCTGCGGAACTCCGCTGGTCACAGCCTCTTCTCTAGATTCTTGGTCATGAACTACTACCTTCTGAGTCCTGTCCTGAAGAAAGTTTGTGATCCATTGAAGCACTCCTGCTTTGACACCATAGGCAGCCAGCTTCTTAACAAGTCTTCGGTGGGGCACAGAATCAAAGGCCTTTTTAAAGTCACAATAGATGATGTCCAGTCCACTGCTGCTGTCCAGTATGTGTGTCCAATCCTCCAGAGCCTCTAGAAGATTGGTCAAACATGATTTTCTGGGTACAAAGCCATGCTGTTCTTTGCAGATGAGATCTTTCTCTAATAGATGGTTGAGCAGGTGCCTTTTGATAATTCTTTCCATGACCTTACATGCATGACTAGTCAGACTCACAGGCCTGTAGTTACTTGCCAGTTTTTTGGAGCCTCCCTTGAAGAGTGGTACCACTGCTGCTCTCTTCCAAGCTGTTGGTAGCTGTCCGCTTGTCATGGACTTTTGGAATATCTGCATGAGTGGGTATGCTAGCTCAGGTGCACAGTTTTTCAAGAGAAAGGGGGAAACATCATCCGGTCCTGATGCCTTGTCTTCAGTCAACGTTTGAAGTTCATGGAGTACTTCCTGAAAAGTAATGTTAATATCCTCGAGTGATTCTCCTTCTTCCACCTGACTTTCAAAAGCTGGCAAAACACCGCCTTGTTCTTTTACAAAAACTGAGCAAAAGAATGTTTGTAGTTCATCTGCAATCTCTTTCTTTGTTGCTATCACAGTGCCATCAGGTTTGACTAGTTCCATCACTTTGTCTCTTGTTTTGCTTTGCAGTCTTACATATTTGGCTATCTTCTTTGGCATTATCTTAGCTGACCTTGCCAGCTCTTCCTCATACAACCTTCTTGTCTGCCGGATGTGACTCGTGGTCTCGTTTCTGATCCTGGTAAACTTCTTCAGATTCTCTGCTGTTTGTTCTTTTCTGTACTGCTTGTAGGCTTTATATTTACGCTTCACTTGCTTATCTAGTGCTTTATTCCACCACGGTGGTGACAGTTTTGTTTTTCTTCTGCCTTTGAATAGAGGAACATACTTCTTTCTGCAATCGTGTAACTTATCAACAAAGAATGTCCATGCTGCTTCAACATCCATGTTTTCTATCACATCCCACTGCACCTGTGCTAGCTCATGACGGATAGAATCATAGTTACCAGCTCTGTAATTGTATCTGAGTTGTTCCTTGGCCTCCCTGTTTTCAGAGTGTATTCTATAGTCCCATATTATCACACAGTGATCACTTTTTCCTATTGGAGCTTCATATTTGACTTCCTCAACATTGTTTTCCTGATTAGTGAGGATGAGGTCCAGGGTAGAGGGGGCTGTACCTGCTCTGTGCCTGGTGCTGGATTTCACATGCTGGGTTAAGTAACAGTCTTGTACTATGTTGTAAAACTGAGTGGCATCAGAGTTTGGTGGTCCTGAAATTGCACCAGTGTCCCAATCAATTTCTCTGTAATTAAAGTCTCCCATAACCAGGTAGTCTGTAGCACTAATTGTTTTCATTTTCTCTAGCAACTTCAGCAGTTCTTGATTATTTTCCCGATCACTGTTTGGTGGTCTGTAGCAGATGCCCACCACTATTGTGTTCCCAGGCCTTGTGTGAATTCTACACCATGCTGCTTCTTCAAAGTTTGAATTGTTCAAAATATCACACTCGCTGACCCTTAAATGATCTGCCACAAGAAGTAGAACACCTCCACCTTTACAACCATCAGGTCGGGACTTACTGGCTGCTACTTGATAGCCTTGAATGTGAATCTCATCCTTCTGCCACACTTCTGTCAGTCCTATAATGTCTGGCTTATGAATGTCCACCCTGTTCACAAACTCTTCCATCTTGTTTCCTAAGCTATTGACATTAGAGTAGAAGCATGACAAAACTTTGTTGAGAGTCACACTACTGTTCTCTTGGGACCACCTTGTTCTGAAAGATCCTGTGTGTCTCCTTGCCTTTTCTTTTGAGTTCGTCCCTCAGTTCTTTTTGCTTTGATCTTTCTTCTGGCGACAGATCCTTGGTGATGTACCTGTTCTTGAACCCTACATCTGTTAGTCTGAACCTCTTTTTGTACAGGTCCTCTAGTTGCTCTTTGTCTTTAAGTTTCACCAAAAGCAATCTCGGTTTGTCGGATGAAGTGTCTCTTCTGCCAAGACGGACCACGTCTAGCAAATCTATATGAGTGTCGTTGCCTCGCAGGGCCCTAGACATCTCTTGGATCCTTTCCTTGTCATATTCCTTCCTTACCTCTGTCTCGCTTGACTCTGACTCTGGCAGGTTGTGAATGATCAGGTTCATGTCCCTTTTCTCGTTGCTCGTTTGAACAGCTTTCTTTATCGTGTCCGAGCTCTGTAGGATAACCTTTTTCTGTTCGCTTAGTTTTTCTACTACTTTCTTCTCCATTTCATTTATTTTTTTCTCGATCCCTTTCTCTACAGTTTTCTCATCCTTGTCTTTGTTGAAAAAGAAGGACAAATAATTGCAAACAGGTTCTTTTTTTAGTCAATGGGAAATAATTATGATCATTAGGTTTCCTAACTTTCCTTCAACTGCATTTGTTCCATTTCTGACGATCCTAAGACAACTATCCAGCGCACGAAATGTAAACATCCCATTTTGATCAAGTCCAAGTCAATCGTGATGATCGTGATGCTGGTCGCGAGCTGTGTGTTATAAGCTATATTCAACGTCTAAATAATACGAGAGAAAGTTTGCTAGTCTTATATTGCTTCTATATTGAATTAAGCAGGTGAGACATAGATGGCCTTGGGTGAGACATGTTTTGGGCCGAAGAATGGGCCAGTATAATTGCAATTCTGCGATTTCCTTCTTTTACACCCTTAAAAAAGGCGGATGGTGAAAACAGGGCGCGGCAGGGCAAATTCAGTCATGTCATGATGTGATGATTTAAAAGTTATTTCCCTCCCAATACCCCAACAGTATAATTGTTACGTGCTTTGTGCAAGCGAATTTCGCGAGCCTTGATTAAAATGCCCTAGGCCAGACTGGAAAAAATACACGTAATGCCAAATATGTGACTGGCATAGTGGCGAGACTGCGCCGGAAATTTCAGAACACGTCCGGCATATCTTTGCAGGCACCTAATTCAGATCATTGCGGGCGCTGAATTTTTCTGCGCAGGGCGTCTGCAGAATTTTTAGGTGAATGGTGGTCACCAATTTTCTTTTGTTAAGCTGGTTGATCTAGTAGCAGTTTCACCCTGTGGCCTGTGGGCAGCTCTGGAGAAGGTTTTTGGACGAGATGTCCCCCGGTCCCCCCTGCCCCGGTGACCGGTCATTGCATGCTGTGAATCGTGAGCCGCCCTGAGTCTTATTCAGTGGAGGAGCTTCTGCCCCGCGGTTGAGGCCTCCACCCTCAGCGCGGAGATGGGTAATGGGTATGGAAGACCTTGCTGAACATTGCCGAGCTTCGTGAAGTAATCCTTCAGTGGGTTCCAGCCTCCAGGCGGTTCACTGCGGCCTGCGGGATCAAGGGGAATGAGAGCGCGGGCGACCTGGCGAAACAAGCGACCGCCCGGCCCTCAGACGCCCGCTCGCTGACCCAGGCGGTTCATTGTGTGGCCTGGCGTCAATGGCGCAACAACTTGTCCGAGTCACTATTCAAGCCACTCTTCGGGAGCACGCTGCAGCTCCCCATCCTCGGAGAGAACCGGGAGGACGCCGTTTCAGGGCACCAGATGAGGACGGGCCACTGGAGCCGGCGGAGCCGCTCATTCCAGCACCTGCACCTGATCAGCCGTCTCCCCTCCGCGGCATGCCAGCAGTGCCCAAACAAGCGGTGCCCCGCGGCGCTCTGCGCCGTGTGCCTAGAAGAGGCTGATGTACCGTAGTACGTGCTGCTCCGCTGCCTGGCCCTCGCTGGCGCCCGCCAGCCTCGAACATACCGCTCTGCCGATTTTAGTGGTCATGGAACTTCCGACCCGGGCCTTGTTTCACGGCACGACGTAAAGGTATGCTTGTTGTGGAATTGGGTTTTCATGGAAGCATCAACTAATTCGGATGCTCAAACACGGGACACTGCCTGATTGATATAGACTTATTGGGTAGATGTGCGCACGTGCTTTATGTAAAAGTGGCTTAATTTTGGCACAAATAGACACCCAACTTTCGACGCAAGTCATGCAGAAATTTCAGTGCAAAATCGCTTACACCGAATTTCGGCGCATGAGGGTCTCACGTGCGTCCGGCGTAGTGTGTGGATGTTTTCCAGTCTGGGCCCAGGCGCCCTATTGTTACCGTCCACCTTGAAAAATATAACTGAAGAAATTCACAAAACAAAAACACAAAAAGAAAGAACACATCGATTCAGGCATGATGGATAACATGAGCCTATGATACCATGATTATATACGGCCATGACCTATGGTTCAGCACATCCAGAATACCATTCTTCACCAATTCTTTGTCAGTTTTTTACCTGTGCCTTGCCTGTGCCCCAGGCAACGAAACGTGGCACGTGCACGCCTGAGGTGCGCCCAGTCCCCGGTTTGATTGAAGTGCACGCCTGCAAGTACGAGTGCATGCTTGTGTCTATAATTTGCACGCCTGGCACGCAGTGTTTCAGTGAACATGCTAAAAGAGAGGTAACAAGCGACAAGAGACACTTATCCATCACTGTTGTATTCCTGCTTATTTTCTTGTTCTGTTGCATTTCATTTTCAGATATGATCTCTCCAGAAGAGATGGAGTTTCTGGCTGAGTTTGGGGTGCTCACCATCATCCCAAACTTCCAGCAAGAGCAGCTGTACCTGATAGGCGGTGATGTGGGACCGTTTCGGCCGGCCCTGCCCGTGGAGGTGCCTGTTTGGCTGGCCGTCAACCTGCGCCAGCGCAGCAAGTGTCGCATCGTGCCGCCCGATTGGATGGAGGTCGACCGACTGCAGGTGCGGCCCGCTCTTACCATCATTTAATATTTTGTCCCATACTAAAATGCTATCATAAATCATACTCGTCTGTTCTTATTTTATAACCACTAAAAAAATGGTGAAGAGTTTTTACATATAACTAGACTTTACTTAACTTCCGCAATTCTAACTTTGTGAACCTACCAACAGGAGAAGAAGGAGGAAGAGAAAAACTCTGCGCACTTTACGCCGATGCCCTGCGAGCACTATATGGAGCTGACGCAGCTCATCATGGACGTGGCTGCCGGAGACGTGCCTAGAGCCGACCAGATCCGTACTATCATCAAGGTAGGAGCCAGGAACGAGCGGTGAAAACAGAAACGACTGCTGCCTTGGGATTTGATGGAACCGTGGTGTTCTGAAGTGTTTTTTAAGAGACTTGTAACTGCGCGACAGAAGGGATGAGCCGTTGGTACTTGTGTGTTTATATACGTGTTTGATATTACAGGACATTTGGGACATTCGTGTGGCGAAACTGCGATCTTCCGTGGACGCTTTCCTCAAGTCCAACTCGTCGTACGCGAAGCTGGACCACCTGACTCTGCTGGAGCTGAACACAGTCAGGCCATTCCTGAACCATTCACTGGACCAGCTGTACCGACTCAAGAAGGTGAGCACTTCAAATCAGATCGATATTCAAATAACATTATCGAATTTTGACAAGTTTTAAAAACAATAAATCTCATCAATCACACTAACACTCGTGCAATGTCCAAAATGACTATTGGAAGGTGCGATGAGATGAGGGATGGAAGTGAGAGTAAGAGGTGAGAATAAAAGAGGTGTATCTAACTCGTTATTACGAGTGTGCTCTACATCTACGAAAATGATGTCTTGCTAGAATCTACGGTGATAAATTTTAGCAAATGACAGATGTGATATAAAAGTGCATGTAAGGCGTTAACTTTTTAATTCATTTCGAAATGGATAAAAGAAATTACCCTTTCTAACAATAATTTTTATGCTACACATCTTTTTTTTACAATTTTATCCATTTTGAAATGAATTAAAAAGTTAAGGCCGCATTTTATGTCACATCTACGGCGATGTTAATTGGCTGTTGTCGGTACCAGTATTCGTGTTCCGTGTCACCAACTCTGCTGTGTGCGTTTGCGTTCGCCAGGATACGTACCGGAGTCTCACAATGGACGCAAGTCGAACTTCATGATCAGTAGGAACTGTGGACATCATTACTTTGTGCGTGAACTGGTCAAACTCTGGAGGTTTGTTCTTGGAACTATCGCGGCTCGTTATTGAGGGGTTCCAGTCTTCTAGAACAACGACCATCTCTTGGTTTTCTCCGTCCTGCGTCGCATTGGCCATCAGCGAGGTCGAAACAGGCTGTCCATCGCGCATGTCATAAGAAAGTACAAGGGGAAGCTCGTGTTTTCTTTTTTTTCTGCGTGGCTTAGAAATGCATTGATGAAAATGTTCAATCAACTGTGAATTGCATGTCATCATCATGATTACAAAATGTGAGAAAAGTGACGTACTTGGTACAAATATTGTCCATTCCTGACAAGCAGACGTTGAGGTTTCTTACTAAACCCCAGACACTCATCTCTGTAAGCAGACTGTTGTCAGTTATGTCCGTTTGCATTAATGAGCGTGTCGACTGTCGTGCATTCCAAGAGGCTTGGTAATTGCAGTAACAACTTTGCAGAAATGGTGCAGCCTTCGTACTTTGTGCTGTAGTTAGCCATATGGAGTATGCTTGTATTGAACAATGAATGGACATCTCATTGATGACTTAAAACCATCAACGTCTGGCACTCATGGAATATGTGAAGAGCGATATAACGAGGGGAATATTACCGAGTCCGGCAGTCGTGCTTTCCGGGCCTTGTTCTCTGGATATCTCGCCCTCAATCAGGGAGTTCTAAGATGACAGCAAAATTACCATCGGTAAACGGAGCAGCGGATCGATCCTAGTGAAAATGTTACTGATCGACAGAAATTCGCCATCTCGAGCACGCTGCTGGTGGCTGCTGGCATATCTTGGAAATTTATCTATCTGAATTGGTCCACAATGAGTGAAAGACAACATTTTGCTGTATGAACTAACACCAGGACACAGACAAAGGGCCACGAACCGACGGCGATCTCGTGCGGGCTGGACCGCGCACTGTCGCTGTCTGCCGCGGCGGGCGGCCGCATTCTCAGTTCCGGCAGAGTCCGAGAGATGGCAGTGATTACGATCAATCGATATCAGCCGTCCCACGGCGGCTCCGCTGTCCGGCTTCTGGCCAGTGGGAATTTGTATGCGCTGGAGCGGAGCGAGCCGAGTGCGGCGGTGTGTGTGAGTGTGTGTGCGCGGTGCCGGCGGCGCCCCTACCTGTGGTGATACGGGCGCTGCGGACGGGGCGGGGAGGCCGGCGGGCCACGGGCGACCGATCCCCCGCAAACGGAGAGCGGGCGCATTGTCTGGATCGCGGCCACGGCGCCGGTGGCGTCTCGGTGACCGGCCGGGTCACGCCAGCTGGCCACTGTCGCCCGCGAGCCCGGCCATTGGCGATGAGCTCCAACGCTGCCGCCTCCAGCGATTGAGGTAGGTCGGGGCCGGCTGAGCGCTGCCCGAGGCCGCCCACCGCCGTGGGCGAGTAGAACACTGTGGGGAGCATGGTGCATTGTCGCCATCGGGAGTGGGACCTAAACTATCACCACTCGATTGTCTATGTTGAAAAATCCCTAGCAAGATTCTTATTGATATATATTCCTTCAATCGTATCGCCGATTCTTAATTTGACATCTGAATCGAACGAATGTGCACACTCAGCGGTGCATTCTAGTCAATAATTTATTGATTTTAAATATGTGAATATGGCATATGTGTTATAGTGACGCAGTGTAAACAAAGGAGCCGTAGTCCTCGCTTCTGACATCGGGGAAAAAACATAAAACCCGCTTTGGCCATACCATTTGCATCCTAGAGCATCCATTTGCGGCATTTTGTGCATGCAATTTCGTTTCAACAGCCGCATATATTTTTTTCAAAAATCCAACAATTTGTCTTGTTCGACGGCCTGGATTTCTCAGATAAATGGCCAGCCCCACGGTCTAAATATACAACCACCCGCAGGCCATTGGACATCAAATGTACTGGTAAAGCGCCCCATCCATCCATGTCAGCAGTGCAAAATACCGTCTGACCCCAACATACCCTGGGTTCTGACCGTTCTGACCGGCCTGACGCCTTGGGCCTGACCTAGCCGCCGACTGTCTCCTCATCGGAGCACGTGACAAGAATACTGTTGAGCCGCCTGGCGAACTGTCCAACATTATTGGAGTTCCTTGGAGCTGTGATTTATGACGTCGTGACGTCCACTCGTCAGGACTGAGTGGTTAACTGTGCCCATTGCTGGGATGAGTTGGTCATCGGCGTAAGTGCTATCGTCGCTGAAATGGTCTGGGGCATTTTAGTCCGTTAATTACTTTGCAACGTGCGACTTACGAGTCATGATATGGTACCGTGACTCTGCAATGTGCAACGGACGGTATATAGGGCCTTGGAACGGACCATGTCATCTCCATAGAATGGCGCGAGCGGGTCACAACAAGCGGCGGGTGTTTGAACTTGTATAACCTGTCCAAAGATGGCGCTGGTAGTCAACGCCTGGAACGTATGGTGTGCCGCAAGGCGCAGCATGCTTGCGGTAATCTGTCCATAGATGGCGCTGACTATCAACGCCTGGGACGTATGCTGTGCCGCAAGACGCATCGTATGTTTGCGGTAATCTGTCCATAGATGGCGTTGATTGTCAACGCCTGGAACATATGCTGTGCCGCAAGGCTCGGTCCTGCCGAGAGCGAGCGTTATCGCGGACGATTGTGTTTAGCTGTTGGTGTTGTTGTCCTAAACGTTATCCGGAATGAATAGAAGGATTCACCAATCTGAAATCCAATTTACGGTAGATTTTATCAATCTCGGCAATGTTCCCTATGGGACCAGTTCTCTTGTTACTACCCGGAGCGAAGTAACCGATCGCGTCAATCTTGACCCGGCTCGAAGCCATTTCGTTTCAGCTGCGGTCTGCTGCGTTCGACGCGGCGGCGGCAGCTGGGCCGGATATCCTGTTGGTTTGGCATGCTGCGGGGTGTATTGTTACACGTGAGGCCAGTTTACGTCAGGGACAGCGGCCAAACTGGGCCGGCATCCATAATTCATCGGCAGTCCGTGATGGACCGGCCTTCCGCAGAGTACCTACCGCGAATAGTGCGGTGCGGGCCGGCGACACGGTATACCTATAGTGAACGGAAATTGAAACACCGGAAAGAGGAGAGTTGAATGTCCCGCAAAATGATTCCCTACACTCTGAGGTTGTAGGTGTCCTCTGATTTGGATCCCAAGAACCAAACCAGTATTGGCTTGGATGCGGCATAGAGCGGCGTCAAGCATGTATTCTAATAGGATAGCGACTTACAAACAATTCAGGTCAGGTCCCGACATGGGCGCGGGAACCGGGGGGGGGGGGGGGCGTGTGAGCGCTACCCCCACAACTTTTCATATGACCAGGAACCGTCGGGGCAGTTTTCCTCCCCAAATTAGTGGTTGTGGGACAGAAAATATCAGGTTTGCCCCTCCCCCCAGCCTGAAAGTAGTTTCCGCGCCAATGGTCCTGAACCTGCGAAAAAATCAATCACAAATAAATCCTTGCACATTTTCCTTCCAGTTCCATACCCGTGACCATACAATTGCCACTCAATTTCACCTCTTCCCTACATCTCTAAATGCCTCAGTCTCCATCCTTGTCATCACAAACCAGAAGCTGGTCGACTTCCCTAACCCTGCATATCCCATAGCCCCTCTTATATTCCCAGACACCCCAGCAATGGAATCATGGAAGCGAACGGAGCGCGACAGGGCCTCGACCATAAAAAGCCATACGACCTTCTTCCGCAAAGAACTGGTAATGGCCGCTGCCGCTGAGTTGAGTGTTCCGCTGTGATTTATGACGACAGTTTCTGCGTCTCGTGGCGCCACGCCATGTGTTGCATCGTTTGTTCAATTGTTGCAGCGTGGCGCCCTTTATCTGCGATTTTCCCTTCATACAATACTCACAGTACCTACCTTATTAGATTTAGATTATGTCAGATATTGAGATTCACGTTTTAGATTATGTTCGTTGATGTCTGGATGATATTTACTTTTTGTTTGTGTGATATTTGTATTCACCGTTTAGGCGCATTTTCATCATCATCTTTAACACGCGCAGTGGAAGGGGGGGGGGCGGATTTCGCCCACCCCTCCTGTTTTTCGCCATTAACTCGCGCCGCGAACATAATATCAATGTGAAATTTTGGCTACCTGTCCAAAATTGAATTGCGGATCTTCTCGTGCAAGAAATAAGAAAATCGGTTCACAACTTTTCTAGTAATAGCGGTGTAAAGTCAAACATCCTGCCGCCGCGGCGGCGCGGCGGCGCGGCGGCCGGCGCTAGCCGTTACGCGCCGCCTGAATTGTAGACTGTGCCGGGGCGGGACGGTTCCGTCTTTACATCGCGCTCCTTACCGCTGATTACATTAGATTCGCGTCAAATTCGGTGAGAAGACTGAGAAATGTACAGGCAATCATATGGTCAAAGAATTTTGAAAATCGGCCGGTAACAATTTGAGTTATGAGTGTGTAAACACAAAATTGTGATTGCCGCGTTTCCCGCGTCCGCCGATCCCGCTTCAGCCGGCGACATCTTACCCTTAGCAGGCTTCTAACTGCCATATTTATTGTTGGATTATCTAGAAATTCACCATACATACTCCCAAATGTTTGGTCTTTCGTATAGTGAAAGAAAAAAGAAAATCGGACGGTAACTTTTTGAGTTATCGGCGTGTAAACGCAAAAAAGTCTCTAATATGGCAGATTTGACCATATTTGACCTCATTTGACCTTGAAGATATTGACCTAGGGTCATGAAATTCCCACACAACAGAGTTCCCCATGGCCCCCACCTACCCTCCAAATTTCGTTTTTTTAGCTCCAGTGGGAGCTGAGATCTTAGGGGGGGGGGGCGACATCCGCCCCCCCTTCCACTGGGCGTAGTACTCGCAACCCTTCCACTGCGCGTGTTAACATCTTCATCATAAACTCTTGTCTAAAATGTGTTACCAGCATGCCCGAGCCCTGATCTTTGCAAGGCTGTGCCATGTTTTGTCGTCCTGGTAGCTACGCGGAGTAATTTTTCTGGCCAAAACCTTCGTTGGCGCTTTGTATCGGTTCGTACCTTGACTCCATAACTAAATCTGACGATAAAATGGGAGAGCTTGAGTCGGCATTTAACGGAGGGATGCGGTCCAGATTGCTCGACAAGTTTATCTTTCATGCATCTCGATGGTACGCAACGGCCGTAGATCATCCCGGTCTGAAACAAATGGGGAGCGCTGAAGCGGCCCGAACTGATATTTTTTCTCCAGACTCGCCGGAAGGTTACTTCCTAACTAAGCTATTGAGGACGGCATGAGTGCTGCTCCCGTCAGCGTACCCATTGGCTTCTAGAGAACAAAATGAATGCTCTCTGACTTTTGAAATTGTCAGTCAGTGAGTGATAAAGACTGGGCAGTCGCACCCGTCGTCATTTCGTCAGAGCAACTAGCCAGTTCATCTCGTGGCTCTGCCGTTTCCTGCTCCGGTTGCCACGCGCCAGCCGAGAGACCTGCCATCATTCGCTGCCGTTTCCATGACCCGCAGTGACTGCAGTTGTCCTTTGCCGGCGTGCCGCCCGTCGGCGCGCCGCCGCTCGCTGTGACACTGACAGTGACGGATCGGCGCCGCGGCGCCCATGCATAATGCAGTACCAGGTCGTGTGTCGAGCCCCGCTGCTTGGAGGAGCCGGCCGGCGATCATCGCCGCCCAGTCCCCTCCGATCCGGCTGGGACATGCACCCGCCACGGCCGCTCACCCGCCGGGCTCTAACAGCCTACCTTTACCAACAATTACCTAGTACTTACCTAGTACTTTTTAACCCTCGCCCGTAAACGGCGATCTGCCACCTTCGCCCATGCAGGGGGGGGGGGGGGTTGGTGCGACCCCCCCCCTTGGCGTTTGAAAACAGAGTGTCGTAGAGCTTAGCGGAAAAGACCAACGGATTGCTCTCGCCGAGATCTCGCGATTGGTGGTATATTTTTTGGTCCTAGGTCAACATTTGACCTACTTTTGACCGGTCAAAGGTCAAATTTTTCGGAAAAATAGACTTTTTTCAACTTTCCGCGGCGATTGCGGCAAAACGGTGGGAGATATCGACTTGAAACCTTCACTATCGTGTTCTTGATTAATTTTCTATCGTTTGGTATGTATTTCGTTTCCCTAGCTCTAAAAATGGCGCGTTGGGAGCGCCGGAAGTCGGCAAGGTCACAGTCGGCGGCAGAAATTCGAAAAATCAAAATTTAAATTTTTCAAATCTGATTGTATTTTTGGATTTCGGAGGTCCATTTGCTCCCTATAGAAGCTAACATTGCTGCATATTCCCATTGAGGTGACAAGAATTAGCAAAATAGTGGTTCGGGCGCTTTTCAAAAATAGTACCGGACGCTGTTCCTCTTGTGACGTCATAGCTC